AGGGGAGTCTTTCATAGACGAGCTGAAACGAGCCTTTGTAGACGTGCTCTGAATGGAGCCTTTATAGACCTTTATATGCGAGCTGAATAGGGTGCGAGCTGAAGGGAAGCTTTATAAATAAACTGAAGGGAGTTTCTATAGACGAGCTGAAAGGAGTCTAACAGGTTTATTAACATTTTTAAAAATTAATTAACTTGGAACTAATAAAAACCTAATTTTATTTTTTCAAATGTACTCCAAGGTTATTTACTAAAAAATAATTAATTTTTTGCACTCCACTTCCGGGGTTTATCGCAAAACCTTTATTCTGTAATTATCTTCAGTTTGCAATGCCAATTTTTTGTTCTTGTTGTCATTGTTCTTGTTCCGCTCACATGCACATTGAACCGTATTGTGCATAAACTGCTGCTGTTCCAATTTTTTATGTAGCAGTTGTGATAAAAAAAAATGAAACCAAATTAATATGCAAAATAATGAAATAAAAAACAACAACAACAAGATACTGATGTTGTTATTGCTGCTGCAACAGCTAATAATAACTATGAAATCATATTTATTCGAGACGGTATTTAATTACCAAAGGGGGTATCATTACGTTTTTTTCTTTCTTTCTTTATCTGTTTAGAATATCAACAACCTTTAAACATTGACCAACACCAGCATCGAGTCAAGCTCATAAAGATCGCAGTTCAAATGGTGTCTGAAAAAAAGAAAAAAAAAATGAAAAATACACCAACAACAACAGTAACGATAGCTAAATGCGTTAATTGTTTTGTATATAGCTCTCGTGGTAATTGTGATATTTGAAAATGTTCTCATTTTTATTATTAGTTGGTTTTGAAAAAAAAGAACACAACAAAACATTCGAAATAGAATAACAGCCAGTTGAGAATAGAAACTATCATTTTTAATTATTTCAATTTTAGTTGTTTTTCTCTTGTTGTATGACATTGCCCATTGTTTTTGCTCAAGACTCATACATTTCAATTAACGAAAATTAACCTTGACAACAGAAATGAAAACAAAATCGCAACGAAAAAGTCTTAAAGAAAAAAAATAAACTTTAGAATGGGCGGACCAAAAGAGTGAAAGGAAAGAATCGTAATTTATGAATGGAAGAATAGACAGTGAGGCAATTAAGAAAATTCGCAAAAAATAAAGGCCTGGGGAGACCCTAAAGACGAGCTGTAGGGCCCTCTATTGGTAAGCTGATGGGATTCTCTATAGGAAAAGGGGTTTTCTATACAAAGGGATTTTCTTTTGACGAAGGAAACCTTAATAGGGATTCTGAAGGTAGCCTTTCCACGCGTGCTGAAGGTAGACTTTATAGACCAACTGGAGGGAGTCTTTATGGACGAGCTTAGCAGGGTCTTTCATAGACGAGCTGAAGGGAGTCTTTATGACGAACTGAAGGGAGTCTTTATAGACGAGCTGAAGGGAGTCTTTGTAATCAGCTATAGGGAGTCTTTGTAACAGGACTAACGGCCAGGAAGGTTCTGCTATCCATTTGGTGGGACTGGCAAGGGGATTATTTATTATGAGTTTCTTCTGATCTATAGTGTCAAGAACAGGACCGCTTGAAGGTAGCGCCGGTCAGTGTTTCTCAACAGGAGAGGTGTCATGTTCCACCAGGACAACGCTAGGCCTCACACATCTACAATGACTTGGGTGCTTGGTTGGGAAGTTTTAATTTTATTATTATCTTTTTCTACATAGCAAAATTTATTTAATGAAGATCGACTACTGGAGTTTTTTGCAAATAGAGAACAGGACTTCTATGAGAGAGGCATTATGAAGTTACCTTCAAATCATACAACAAAATATTTGGTCCCAAATCGGACATTCCGAAGCATGTTAAATAAAGTCTTATAGTTCATATAAAAATAATGGATTTCTTTTTCCAAAACATAATATTTAAGTACATTAAATGAGACATTTAAGATTTCCACATTTTGAGGATAATTTTTAATGGTTTAAGGGATCCGGAAAAGTATAAGTTAGCTGGCCAATAAAAAAAAATCAACTATTCTATGCCAGAATTCCAGCTCTATCGGTTCACCTAAACCGAAATTGTATCAAATTTAATACCATTTAGTATACCTGAATGCAAATTTCCACTACTACCTACATTATACAATCCTATAAAAATCTTATTTTCCAAATTCAGGATTACAAATTTAGTGTCATTAACTATCTACATACATCAATTCTACACTCCAACAGCAATAATAATTTCAAACTTTTACTATTTCAGCTGTAAATCCAAATTGTATCAGGTACCATTTAGTATCCATAAGTACAAATTACCAAAACTATAACCATACCCCCAATACTACATCACCCCAACAATAATCTTATTTCCAAATTTCAATAATCCCTAACTCTAAAATTCCGGATACCAAAACACCTCTATTCGACAATTCTAAACTCCAACAATAATTTTATTTCCAAATTTCAATGCTACAGCTCTACTGATTCACCTAAATCCAAATTGTACCAAATTTAGTACACATTAGTAGAAATTTCCAAAACTTCCTACGTACCCCAATCGCACACCCCAACAGAAATCCTAACTCCAAACTTCAGGATTCCAGCTCTGTTGGTTCGCCCGAAATTCAAATTGTACAAAATTTAGTACACATAAGTTCGAATTTCTTAAACTACCAAAAATACCTCATTTCTGCAATGCAATAGTAACCTTATGCCCAAATTTCATTATTCCAGCTTTATCGGTTCACTCAAATCCGAATTGTACTAAAAAAAGTACCATTTAGTACCTTTCGTACACATAGGTAAAAATTAAAAAAAAACTATCTACATATCGCTATCCTATATTCCGACGGATGATTCCAGCATCATCCGTTTTTTTTCAAATTCAAATTGTACCATATTTAGTACAGTTTAGTACTTTTCGTATAAATGAGTACACGCTTTCAAAACCACCTCCTTATAGCAACACTACTCTCAGCCTTAATTCGGATTCCAAATTTCATGTTTTTAGCTCTATCCATTCACATGCTATGAAATTGTACCAACTTTAGTACATTTTAGTACTATTCGGATAATTATAGTTCGAATGCCCAAAAAACCCTTTGCTATATATATTTTACACTCCATCGGTGACGCTCATTTAAAATTGAAGAGTTCTAGCTCTACGTGTTCGCCAAATGCAAATGTTATCCCATTTAGTACTTTTCGTACCGTTCAAGTACGAATTTCCAAAAACCCAGCCTTATCTGTCACATTTCACCAAGAGTGACCCTCACCCAAAATTTCAAGATTCTAGCTTCAAACGTTTCGTCTGGGCGTTTATGAATCGTTAAGTCAGTCAGTCAGTCAATTATCCGATTACATACAGCCATATAATTAGTATCAATTTAAAGGCGAACCACTATTCTTGGATGTACTGTCAACTTCTCCGGTCTATATCCTTTATGAGGAAATGTTTACGCCATAGAATGCAAATGTTGACTTTTTTCACACAAATGTCATGGCCCATTTGATCAAAACAGTCATGTCTATTCGTTGGCCAGATCCCCTTGTCTGTGTAAAATTTCGTGATGTTTGGGTCATATTTGTGGCCTCTAGAGCGTCCAGAATAACCGACAAAAATTAAGTATTTGATCCATTTCATCCCCTAAATATTAACCGATCTTTACCAAAAACAGTAGGGGATTCATTAACCAGAACCTGTCCTACATGCAACATTTCGTGAAGATTGGACCATAACTGTCGTCTGTAGCGTGTTTACAAATTATAATGGACATACGGACGGACGGACAGAGGGACACACATGTCTAGATCAACTCTGCTAGTCGAGATATGACTATCTCGACTAATAAAATATCTCGGAATAAAAATCCGCAGAAAGTTAGAGTTCCGTGATAGTTGTGGAGGGTATCATATGGTCGGTCCCCTCCGACTATACTGCTCTGCTCACTGGTTTAACATTGTCTTTGATTTTTATGCAAAATAAAAAAAAATAAAAAATCGAAAACTCAACAGCTTAACAGCTCTTTGCCTTTGATGTGATTACGAGTATTGTTGCCTGGTAATGCAATCTCTCACTGACAGACATGACGATGGAGATGGTGATGCAAATCAGACGTCAGTCTCTTCTCATTGGCTCGGCTGTCATTTGCATAGAATTTTACAAACATACATACAATACATGATTATTATGCAACATTGTTCAATATAATCTGTATTAAGATACAGTGACATTTTTCACACAAACACACGTACATACACTCAAGCTAAATTGGTGTCAGATGAGTGAAGAAGAAGAACCCATCATGAATGAATGCTGTTGATGTGAATAATATTCTGCTTGTATGTCACTAGTTATTATCTAGTCACTTGTAAAAATTATTGGTAGAACCGACAGGCAGCCCTTCATGTCCTATGAATATCGTCTCTTCTGGCAGCACTGGCTTCTGCACCACCTCCCTTTAAATCGGCTAATTGTAGCATTTGCAAATCAAGATTTCCACATCAATTATTATATACATACATGGAAAGAGAGAGAATGTGAAATGCCAACAAATTTATGATATTTTTCATAATCATCCAGCAGAGCTTGTAATAATTGTTCTTATCATCAACACCAGCAGAGGTGTGGTAGGGTACTTTATGAGTGTAATGGAAATTTAAATAGGTTAAAAATAAGGATTCCTAATTAATATGATATGATAATATAATGTAAGTAGTTTTTTAAAGATTACGTAAATTAAAATATATTTGAAATTATCTATGGGAAAGTGAAGGGTGTTCTTATAGACAACATGAAGAGAGAATCCAGACAGAAGTCCTTATACAAGAGCTGAAGTGAAGAGGGAGTCTTTATACATAAACTGAGGGTCAGGTGGTTTTTATATACAAATATTATTATTATTCTATTATTGTCAGATGATATAATTATTATTGTTATCATAATCATCTCTTGTAATTTTATTTTCTCTCATATTTAATATTTTTTCTTCTCTTCCTTCTCTTTACAGAACACATCACCATTATGGGAGGATTTTGTTGCCAAGGCCAGTAAATTACACGCTTGTTTAAAGTAAGTAATTATTGATTTTTCTTATTTCGCTTTTTTATTTTATTTCGCATTTTTTATTTTCTTATCAAGCGTTTCATTATTATGCAAATTCCTCCGTTTAATTGTAATGACAATTAATTGATAATTGCTTGGCAATTTGTTAATTGTTCCGCAACAATAGTAAAGGACTGGACTTAATGATGATTGTTAATGTTAATGTTAATGTTTTGTTAACTGTGAGCTATTCTGTTAATAGTCAAATTAATTCCTTTAGATACATAAAAGCTTAATGGCGCCGGAGATAGACAGGAAAATAAACCTGTTGTTAGGATACATTAATAAAAATAAAATTAACCAGACACTTGAAAAGGTTTATTAATTGTAGACTCATTAAACTTCTATAGAATTCTCACAGGATATTGTAATGAAATTAAGCAGCACGACTAGACAGATAAAATTTAAAATCGAGAAAAAAAGATCAATCCTAAGCGACTGCAAATATGTTGGCGGTATAGAAAAATAGATTTTCATCATTACAATACAAATAAAAGGTGAAAAGCAGGGACATACAAAAATTTGAAAGCTAACAACATTGCTAATCACGAATTTCAATTTTTTACAGGGTGAGCAAAAATTCTCTCGCGAATAAACGATCATTCGCCAAACGAATGTTCGCACACACATAACAAACGAGTGAGAGCATACAACAACGATAGTTCGTTTCGTTTGGTGGTTGAAATTCTCTCCGACATTCGCTCACGAATGATAACAAACATTCGCGAATGATCAAAACAGCAAAAATAATAACAACAAACGTTCGTGAACTCATGGGCATGTTTTTTCCACACATTCTCATCATTTTCTGCTACATACACATTCATTGGCTATTCGCGAATATTTGTTTTTTTGAGTTTTTCAAAAGAACGTTCTTCAGCAAAAAAATATTCGTTGTCGTTCGTAATTTTTTTTTACAATGTTTTTACAAAATAGTCAGGCTGTAGTTTTTATAAAAAAAACAACTATTTATTAGTACAATGCGAACATTCGCGAGAGATTGCAAATGCTTGTTCATTCATTGTGACTATCATTCGCGATAAATTGAAAACATTCGAATTCTCACAGCAAGTATTCGTTAGAATGGGCGTATTTTAATCATTCTCCGCACCCTGATTTTTTATCTTTTTGGAGACCCTAGCTACATTTCTATGAGTGACATCTTTGTAGATTATTTGGAGATTAAAAAGTTCGTCTTGTAGTATTTACTTTATGGTTCAAAAATTAAGGACGAAAAGAAGCACAAGGACTCGAGATAGATGGATGGAATGTTCAGCGGGGCTTTCGTCCCCATGAGAAAATTTCCGCCCATCAAAATCGTATTGCAGAGTTTTTTTTATACCCTACACACCCATCTTGTCAGGGTATTATAGCTTTGTGCAGCCCCAAGAGTTTGCAACGCCGCGAAATATTTGTCCTAGACTCACCTTTAAGTATACCGATAGTCCTATCTCGACTAGCTGAGCCGATCTAGACTTGTGAGCCCATCCATTATAATTTGTAAACGCGATACAGGCCACAGTTATGGACCAATATTAAAGATATTTTGCATGTAAAATGGATTCTAGCCAATGAAGACCCCTATTGTTTGTTGTTTTTGGTAAAGATCGGTTAATATTTAAGGGATCAAATGGACTAAATACTTCATTTTTGGTTGCTCCAAAGGCCGCAATTATGGCCCAAACATCGCGAATTTTTACATAGAGAAGGGGATTGGGCCAAAGAATAAGCCTTCGCGTTTTGGCCTTTAAATTGATTCCAATTATATTGTCGTATGTACTCGGATGTGGGAGTTACACATAAATATTTACAGATACTTACGTGTTCATATATTATTTAGTAACCAATTACCACACTGGAGGGCGGAAATATAGTGCTGATCGCTTTGAAATTTTCCATAACGATCGAGGTATGGTCAAGGACAAAGCCTATAATTTTCGGTGATGATTAGATAATAATTTTGGAATGAAGTGGACCGAAAAATTAATTTCTTTTTTTTTCGATTCCCTCTACAGGGCACAATTGTAAGCCGAACATCACAACACAATCCACGGTGAAAGTAATATGTACAAGTAATTAGAAGGACTGTACTGAATATTAGTAATATTCGAAAAATATGTCAGTGTAAGGAAGAGCTGCTGTTGACCTCTAATCGGCCAAGAGGGTGCAACTATCACGAAATATTGTCCAGGCTCGGAATAAAAATCCGCAGAAAGTTGGAGTTCCGTGGTAGTTGTGTAGGGTATCATATGGACGGCCTCGTCCAACTATACTGCTCCGCTGACCGGTATAGAAGTCATATATATATATATATGTTTTCGGTCTTTATAATAAACGACGTAATTTTAAGATTTTTTTCTTATGCTCAAAATTAAAACCTCGATAACTTTTGCGCGCACCAACCAAAAATTTGATCGCGAACGGATTCGGAGTCAGGACATTTTTCTCTATATGTGTACCACGAAAACAAAGCAAAAAAAAAACAGTAAGGAAAGTAGTAAAGTCGAACGGGGCCGACTCTATGATACCCTTCACCATTTTGGGTCGCATTTTTAAAGGACCAGTAAAATGAAATTGGATCCATAAACATGTCATTCTGCAACCGATACTAAATTGTTCATTTGGTCAGATATAGAAGCTATATCTAAATCTGAACCTATTTCAGGAAACTTAACACACATCATTCTAGACCTAATTCATTACGCTGTGCCAAATTTCGTGCAAATCGAAAGATATATAGGGACTTTGGCACACCATTTACATTAAATCGGACGAAAATACACTGCGTATCATAACTATAGACGCACCTTTAATTCAATTGGTATGTTAGTTGACAAATAAAATGGACCCATTAAGTTATTGTTCACAATAAAACGATCAAAAACACATATTATTCAACAAAAATAATTAATTTATTCTTTATGGTTTCGCCGAATTCTGCACTTTCAAAATTGCTGGTGTTGCATAACTATAGACGCACTTTTACAAAATTAGAAAAATTTATTTTTTAAAACTTAAAATAAAATAACTTTTATAATTAATGGGTAGGGCCTCCCTTATTTTGAATAAGTTCAAAAATGTTATCCATCACACTGTTGATCAAAAGTATTCGCAAGTCTTCATCGATTGACCGCCATTCATCGATAATCACTTCTTGGAGGTAAAATACAGTTTGGTATTGGAGGTTTTCTGCATAGACACGATGAGTCAAGATTCCACACATGTTCTCGATTGGATTCTGGTCGGAAATTTTAATATTTTTCGATTTTAACCATACTTGAGTATGGCAACTTTTATGAACTTGTGCGTTGTCCTGCTAAAAAACGAGTCCTTGATTGTTGCTGCTTTCCCAAAATTGCAATAATTTGTCTTCCAAATTTAAAAAATAAATTTTTCTAATTTTGTAAAAGTGCGTCTATAGTTATGCAACACCAACAATTTTGAAAGGAAACTTAACACACATCATTCTAGGCCTAATTCAGTGCGATGTGCCAAATTTCGTGCAAATCGAAAGATATATAGGGACTTTGGTACACCATTTACTTTAAATCGGAGGAAAATATATATGGGAGCTATATCTAAATCTGAGCCGATTTTTACCAATTTCAATGGGGTTCGTCCTTGGGCCCAATAAGTGACCTATGCCAAATTTCATCCCAATCGGATCATAAATGCGACCTGTACTTTGTTTAAAATTTAACATGGACAGACGGACGGACGGACGGATAAGCTTAAATCGACTTAAAAAGTGATTCTATGCATATTCTCAAAAGGAACCATGTGTCTATCTCGTTTCCTTTTGCCTGTTGCAAATATATGCACAAAGACATAATACCCTGTACCAGAGTGTGGTGAAGGGTTTAAAAAAACGATTTTTTGAAAATGAAATATTAAAAAATTGGAATATTAAAATATTTTCACGAAACTTGGCACGCATCATTCTAGACTTAATTTAATACACTATGCCACTTGGGTGCACAATTTACATAAAATCGGACGAAGTTATATATGGGAGCTATAACTAAATCTGAACCGATTTTCACAAAACATAACGTTCTAGACACAATTCAGTACGCTGTGCTAAATTTTGTGCAAATCAGAGGATATACAGGAACTTTGGTGCACCATTTACATAAAATCGGACAAACATATATATTGCAGCTATATCTAAATCCGAAACGATTTTCTCCAATTTCAGTAGGGTTCGTCCTTGGGCCAAATAAGTGACTTGTGCTGAATTTCATCCAAAATCGGATCATAAATCCGACCTGTACAATTTTACATCAATTAAATGCATTACAAAATCTTCTGTGTAATAGCCCTCGGGTATATATTATTTAAAAAATACACTCTAATAACTTTCGAAAACTAATGTATATTTTTTTAAAATATAGTAAAAAAATAGTCTTTAAAAATTCTACACTTTAAAGCTGTTGGGTTTTTAAGCCTTCAATTTTTTAAATCTACGCTCTAATATCCCTCCCGAAATTTTACTTAATAAGTCAGCGACCCCTATAGTCCCTGAAAAATATTATTTTAAAGATCTATGCACCATATAGACCTTGAAAAGTATTCATCATCTGATCTACGTCACCCTGTATAGTCCAACAAAATTTTATTTAAAAATTTTACGCTTGCATAGCCTCCAAAAAAATATAATTTAAAAATTTCCAAACTAATAGCCTCGAAAAAACAGTTTTAAAGAAAACCTGCGCTCTCATTTCTAAATATTAATTTTGTAAATCCCTACTCCGCATAGTTTTATTAGTTCCATCATTGCTCTATTTTAGTGTTAATGATTATCGGTTAGTTATTACCTCATATACATAGGGGCCCCCAATGTGTGGTCAAGCAATAAAAAACACGAGCGCAAACAATTCTATCCAAAATGACCACATAAAATAATGTTGTTACAACATTTATTAGCACCCGCCAACACTCACCACCCTCATTCTTCACAATAAAACATGCCTTGTTTAACAGGGAGTTTCCTCTCCCAACATAAAATAATAAAAAAATAAATAAAAACATAAAATCATCTAAACAATTTTCCTTATGTTTGAAAATATTTTTACAAAGTTCAACAATGCAGTCGTCCCCCCAAGTCAAGTCAACCAACCGAACGATCGCCAAACCATATGAATTTAAATTATTTCCTTGATTTTTCATGAGATTGCCTGGCGCGAGAGAGTTGTTGTTTTTTATTTTGGGGAGAAAAAGTTTTATTGTTTTCTTTCTTTTTTGTAAATTTTCTTTAAACATATTTTTTATGGCAATCTTTTTTTTTTTTTGTATTTTGCTTGTACTTCTTGTCATCATCTCCCCAGATGGCGATGTTATTGTTTATTTGGTTTCTAATGTTATGATAATGTTGTTGTTTTTTTTTGTGCTTTTTTTCAGAGCGGCCATCCAAGCAATCGCATCGTATTTGGATGCCTTCCAAAAAATTGCAGACGCAGCAACAAATTCAAGAGGTAAGTTCAAATATTGTGTGTCGTGGTTGTGGAAATCTGAACCAGAAAAACAAAATTCGAAAAAAAAAATGAAATGAAAATCTGGGTAACTAAAAATAATTGGCATTCTTTGGGCATAAATCTTTTAATTTAGAAGAATTTAATCTAATATAGACGTGTATTTATTATATGGGATACAGAGGGGGTCAAAACTCCGCAAATGTGTTTTTTTTTAGCTGAGAGGATAATTTTATTGGAATTTTGATTGGAACCGATTAGGTCTATTATTAAAAACGCAATTTAGTCAATTTTTTGGAATACCTAAATGAACAAAGAAAAGGAGATTCTGATAAGTTGCTATAATAGCTTTAGAAGGTACAAAAACATTTGATACTCTCTAGTAGACGATTTAAAAAATGATAATGTCTAAAACCAACCCAGTCTCTAGCCTCTTATAGACTTTGAAAAAATATTCTTCAAATAGTCAATGTTCTATAGCCAATGAAAAAATAACCCTTAAAAACGTCTATGCTCATAATGCCTCTTTCACAGAAGTACTGCTCTCTATTTGCACCTCTTCCTGGTAGTCGATTTTCAAAATCCTCCCTAGATACCAATTTTTATCATTAAAGAAATTTTTCAATCCAAGAAAAAAATGATAATCGCTTGGTGGCAAGTCCGAATTGTATGACGGATGCATGGCGAGTCACTAGAGATGTGCGTGGCCTAGCGTTGTCCTGGTGGAACACGACACCTCTCATGTTGCTCAATTTTGACCGTTTCTGGTCAATTGTTAATGGTTTAAAACAGTTAAGATATCAATTATCTTATATTCTTTTTTTATAAAATCTCTAACAGCCCTCAAAAAATCGTTAAAAAAAAAACCTTCTAATAGCTTTCAAAAAAATTTTATTTAAAAATTCACACAAGAAATATCCCTCAAAAACAATAGCCTTAGAAAATAGTCTTTAAAATTATATCCTCTAATCACTTTCAAAAAAAATTATTTAAAAAATCGACTACATAAAAGCCTTTGAAAGAAATATTCTTAAAAAATGTAGACCCACCGAAAAATATGCTTAAATGTTTACCCCTAATAGCCCAACAAATACGCTTTAAGCATTCAAGACACCAATAGCCCTTGAAAAAAAACTTTAAAAAATCATAAGATACCCTACACAACTACCAAGGAACACGAACTATCTGTGGATCTTATTTCGAGCATGGGCACCTCTTCCTTACACTGACATATTTTCCGAATATTCCCAATATTCAGTACTACAGCCCTTCTAATTGCTTGTCCAGATTCCCTTCACCGTGGGTTGTGTTGTTAGGTTCGGCACTTGGCATATAGATCTACTCGAAAAACTCACAAAAAATTAAGTTTTCGGTCCACGTCATCCCAAATTTTTTATGTGATCATCACCGAAAATTAAAGGCGTTGTCCTTGACCATAACTGGGGCCTCTTGGAAAATTTTAAGGCGATCAGCGCTATATTTCTGACCTCTATGTTAATGGGTTACTAAATAATATCTGAATACGTAAGCACCTATAAATATTTAAGTTTAACTCCCTCATCCGAGTACATACGACAATACAATTTAAAGGTCAATCACTCCTTTTTGATATACAGTCGAGTTTTTGGGTCTATGTCCTTTAGGAGTAAATATATACGCCATAGAATGCAAATTTTGTCATTTTTCACACAAACGTCAGGGTCCATTTGACCCGCTAAATATTTACCGATCTTTATTAAAACAGTCATGCTTTTTCTTTGGCGTAATCCCCTTCTCCATGTAAAATTTCGCTATGTTCAGACCATAATTGCGGCCTCTAATGCGTCCAGAAAAAAGCGACAAAAATTAAGTATTTGGTCCATTTCATCCCCTAAATATTAATCGATCTTTTCCAAAAACAATAGGGGTCTTCTTTGGCCAGAACCCATCCTACATACAAAATTTTGTGAAGATTGGCCTGTGGCCTGTATTGTGTTTACAAAATACAATGGACAGACGAACGGAAACACATGTCTAGATCGACTCAGCTAGCCGAGATATTACCATCGTTATACTTAAAGGTGGGTGTAGGACCAATATTTCGCGACGTTACAAAATCTTGGGGCTGCACAATGCTATAATACCCTGACAACATAGTTGTGTAGGGTATGCCATTGTCCTCATTTTTAATGTGTAAGATACTAGCAAATGCCCGCTACTTCGTTAGCGGATGTGAGAATTATTTAAACATGTCTGAAGCTAATCAATATACACACCAATATTCTTTTGTTATCTTAAAGAAAGTATTTCCAATACTACCCTCAACACATTAGTATGAATTTACAAAACTTCTTACATAGCCCAATCTTGGACTTTCGGTTCACCCAAAATTTAAATTGTGCCAAAGATAGTACCCTAAATATGAATTTCCAAAACATCATCCATACCCCAATCCTACCCTCCAACAGTAACCTTATTTCTAAATATCAGTATTCCGGTTCACCCAAATACACATTTGGTACTATTAAGTACACATTAGAACAAATTTTCAAAACTTCCTACAATCCCACTCCTTAACAGTACCCGAACATTAAATTTCAGGATTCCAGCTCTATCGATTCACCTAAAATCCAAATTGTACCAATGTTAGTACCATTTAGTGCCCATAAGTACGAATTTCCAAAACTACATCCATACCACAATCCTACATTTCAACAGCCATGTTATTTTCCAATTTCAGTGTTCTAGCTCTATTGGTTCACTCAAATGCACATTTGGTACTATTTAGTACACATTGTAATAACATTTTAGTACTTTTCGGATACTTATAGTTCGAATTTCCTTTGGTACACATATCCTACACTCCATCAATGACCCTTCTTTTCTTTTCTTTTTTCCGGCAAATACATCTCTTTTCTAATCAAATCTCCGCCACCACCCTACCAACATCCTTCCTAATGACCATTTAAACAAACCATAAAAGACCAATGTTGCTATTTAGAATAAATACTTGGACTGACTGCCTGCTGCATACGGCAGGGCAGTAAAATGAGCCGAGCCGCAAAAACTAACAGCTGCCACAGACACTGCCACATCCACTGCAGCTACTGCTATTACTAGACAACTAGCTACTTTTCTTGCTATTGTTGTTGTTATGTATTATTTTTCTTTCTTCCTCAGTGTTTTTCTTTTGTCTGTTTCTGTGTGTGCAAATTTACATAAGTCATTTGCGGTCAGTGATCTGATTTTTATATGTATCTTCAACGACTTGAAGCGCGCGATGCCTTTTTATTTAAGTTTTCATTTCGTTTTTTTTCTGCTTTGTTGTTGTTGGCTTTATTTGCCATTTCCTTAAACATATACACGAAATATGTATGTTAGAAATTCTTATTCTTCTTACGTGATTCTTTGCAATTTTTTTTCTATGTTGGGTGCATATTTTTTCTGTTCTTCGTTACTACATATACCTACTTCGAGGTGGATGTAAAGCTTCCGCATATGCAATAATACCCAATTTTCTCTGTAGAAAGTCTCAAGGGACTGTGAGTTTGTATCTATAGAAATAAATCCGTCCCGAGTGAGAAATATATTGTTAAAAAAATTTAGACTCTAGTAGCCATCGAAAAAAATACATTTCTTTTTAAAATAATACATTTCTTATAGCCGTTCCAAAACATATTTGTTAATAAGACCTAATTTTTATATATATAAAATAATTAGCCTTGGGCGAATGCAAATTTTTCCATAGAAATAAGTTTTCCAAAAAAATATAACTGTAAAAAATATATTTTTTAAAAAGTTCTCAAAAAAATAATCTTTACAAAATTCAGAATCCATTAGCCCTCTAATAAAATATTTTTATACCCTACACAACTATGTCGTCAGGGTATTATAGCTTTATGCAGCCCCAAGAGTTTGTAACGCCGCGAAATATTAGTCCTAGACCCATCATTAAGTATTCCGATCGTCATATCTCGACTATCGATCGATCTAGACATGTGTGTCCGTCCGTCTGTCCATTATTATTTGTAAACACGATACAGGGCACAGTTATGGACCAATCTTCACCAAATTTTACATGGAGGATAGGTTCGTCCCAAAGAAGAACGCTATTGTTTTTGGTAAAGATCGGTTAATATTTAAGGGAAGAAATGGACCAAATACATAATTTTTGTCGGTTTATCTGGTACGAACATCGTGACATTTTACATGGAGAAGAGGATCGTGCCAAAGAATTAGCATGCCTGTTTTGATGATGATCGATCAATATATAGCGGGTCAAATGAACCCAAACTTTTGTGTGAAAAATTACAAAGTTTTTACACATTGCCGAGAATTTGATAGTATATCCAAGAGAATTTATTGACCTTCAAATTAATACCAAACTTATGGCTCCATATGTACTCTGATGTGGGAGTTATACGTAATTAGGTGAAGGTGACTATGTGCATAGTATTACTATTACTCCATTAGAGGACGGAAATGTCGCGCTGATAGCTTTGAAATTGTACATGAACTTCCGATTATGGTCAAGGACGACGCCCCATAGTTTTCGGTGAAGTTGTGATTTCATTCAGGGGGTGTAATGAACCGATAACCTTAATTTTGTCAGATTTTCTAGTCGCTCTAGAGGCAATTATTATATGCAGAACATCATATATTTTACAAGGTGAAGGGGATCTGACCAAATACTTAGAGCGGCTGTTTAGATGATGATCGGTCAATATCAACCAAAACCTAAAGTGACATTTTTTTTTTATTTTACGGCGTAAAAATTCACTTCAAGAAAACAAAATTGGAAAAATATACCAGGGTTAAAAAGTGGAGCTGTTGACCTATAATCGATCAAGAGGGTGCAAATATCTCGAAATATTGCCCAGGCTCACAATATAGAACCTCAGAAAGTTTGATTTTCGTGGTAGTTGTGTAGGGTATCACATAGCCGGCCCCGTCCGACTATACTGCTCCGCTCACTGGTTTAAATTTAGGCTATGATCGATCTTGAAAAACAATATTTTTTAAATGAAATTACAATCTGATTTTTCTCGAAAAATCGTTTTAACAATTCGATGCGTTAATATATTTTATAAATATTTTTTTTAATCTACACTCTAATACCACTCGAAATATATATATTTTTTAATAAACGCTCTAATAGCTGTCAAAAAAAATAAATATTTTTTAAATCTATGCTCTATTAGCACTTGAAATAAATATTTTTTAATACTGTAAAGCTCCCAAATAGTCCCAAATAACTCCATATTTTTACTTTATAGAAATCCAACCCAACTAACTACCCTTCTTTAAAACATTTCCAATTAAAATCACTCAAATAAGTTCCAATTTATTAGGACAAGGCCTAATAGACCATTGATTACCATGACAGTTTCACACGACCTTTGGCAAGAAATCTCATGACCTCTTGGATGTAGTTTCGATCTTTCTTTGTAAAATTGTGTTCCACATTTCCAAATGAAACTATTTTCCCAAATAACGATGAATGAAAAGCAAACAACAAAATACAAACAAATAAACAAAACTAAGAAGGGATTTCAAAAGAAAAAAATATTTCAAAAAAATGAAACATTAGGCCACAATATAACCACAAATTCCTTTTCATTTATAAATCCATTGGGGGGTCGGTGTTTTCCTAAGCAAAAAATACAAAGAAATTCCACCACAAAGAAGCAAAAGGAAAACATCAACAACATGGAAGTCATTGAAGAGGAGTTGATGGTGATGGCAGCAAAAGAACTTTTGCCAATACTGGGCAACAACATGTTGCCATTCTACAATGAGCAACAATAACAACAACAAATCTGACAAATGTATGGCTTCAAATGATTTTCTTCTTGATCAAAACAAAAAAATAAACAAAACGAACGTCGAAGCAGCAGAAAGCAAATAAAAAATCTATTACATAATTTTTTTTTCCATTCACTGGCAATAGCTAGCTAATCATCTCCTCCACAAAACTATTGCCACAAAATGAGGCAGCTAGCCACAAGCCCCCACCCCACTACCGTTACTGCTACACGATGGTAAATTAAAATCATGAAAACAATATCGTAAACAATATGTATGCGAAAAGAAACCGCCAAACGCGAAATCATTAGACAATGAAAATTATACATAATATACACATACGCGAGTATGTTATGGGTTGAGAGGAGAAATGGCCTAAGTCAAAAAATTTGTTTTCCTAAAAAAAAAAAACAAAAATCGAAAAACCCTCAAACATTTTTTAAAGAAATCTACGCTCTAACAGCACTCTAATAATTCTACGATCCAATAACCTTGGGAAAAATCTAAGCTTTAGTAGTCCTCGAAAAAAACTAAGATTCAACAGACCTACAAATATTTATAAAGACTCCCTTCAACTAGCCTATAAATATGCTCTATAAAGTCTATAGAACTTCCTACTTCAGCTCGTCCATTGACACTCCCTTTAAAAACTTCCTTCAGCCTATAAAGAATACCTGGCCTTCAGCCCTCTAAAAAAGACTCCCTGCATTCAGTTCGTCTATGAAGACTCCCTGTTCTTCAGCTTGTCTACAAAGACTCCCTGGACTTCAGCTCGTCTTGGCTATGAAACCCCCTTGGGCTTCGGCTCGTCTTGACTATGAAGACTCTCTGACTGCCTGGTCTTCAGCTCGTCTGTACCGACTACCTGGCCTTCAACTCGTCTATACAGACTCTCTGGCCTTCAGCTCGTTTATACAGTCTCTCTTGACTCTCTCGTCTATAAAGACTCCCTGAACATCAGCTCGTCTATACCGACTCCATGGCCTTCAGCTCGTCTACAAAGACACCTTCCTTCAGCTCATATATATCTCTTCACCTCATCCCCTCATTTCGCCTATAAAGACTCACTTTAGCTCGTCTACGAAAGACTCCCTTCAGCTCGTCTTTAAAGGCTCCCTGAACTAGAGTTCGTCTATGAAAGACTCCCTTCAGCTCGTCTATGAAAGACTCCTTTCAGCTCGTCTATGAAAGACTCCCTTCAGCTTGTCTATGAAAGACTCCCTTCAGCTCGTCTATTAAAGACTCCCTTCAGGTCGTTTATTAAAGACTCCCTTCAGCTCGTCTATGAAAGAGACTCCCTTCTTCAGCTCGTCTATGAAAGAGACCCCATTCTTCAGCTCGTCTATGAAAGAGACTCACTGCTTCAGCTCGTCTATGAAAGAGACTCACTGCTTCAGCTCGTCTATGAAAGATACTCACTGCTTCAGCTCGTCTATGAAAGAGACTCACTGATTCAGCTCGTCTATGAAAGAGACTCACTGATTCAGCTCGTCTATGAAAGACTCCCTGCTTCAGCTCGTCTATGAAAGACTCCCTGCTTCAGCTCGTCTATGAAAGACTCCCAGCTTCAGCTCGTCTATGAAAGACTCCCAGCTTCAGCTCGTCTATGAAAGACTCCCTGCTTCAGCTCGTCTATGAAAAGACTCCCTGCTTCAGCTCGTCTATGAAAGACTCCCTGCTTCAGCTCGTTTATAAAAACTTCCTGCTATTCACTTCGTCAATAAAGACTTCCTTATCTTCAGCTCGCCTATTAATGACTCCCAGCCCTCCAACTAATTCTGGTTCTGATTTCCCCTCCCATATCCGGTTTCCTTATTGCCTTTTAGAAAAATTAGCATACACATATTTTTCCTTCAGACACTTTTCCCACACTACAAGATTTGTATGTTTTTTTTTTTGTTCTTCACTTGGCCCAGATATGTTGCGGACATTAGCATTAAAAGGATTGCCTCCAGTCAATAACGTGTTGTGAACAACAAAAGCAACAACAACGACACAAGCCAGGAAAACCAGCTTCGAAAAGGCAAAAAAAAGAGGACAAACTATACTTGACCTAAAAAATAGATAATGGTTGGTTAGTTGGTCGGCCCCTCAAACAGGTTCAGCACTTGAACATATTCACTATTTTACATACGGTCCTCCGCCGCCGCCGTCGGCCTGTATAATAATAATTATTATTTTCTTTTTCTAAATTCTTCCTTCCCTAACCTCTTCCTCCCAAATGCCCATGCTAATTGGCTTTTAGCAGAAAAGACAAAAATGAACATCTCTGGAGGGGCTTTGGTTGGTTGTTTGGTTCCTTGTACTTTCTTTCATATGAACTCTTACGACAACGAAAAGAAAAAAAACTTTGAAACTTGTTTCCAGAAAGAAGAAAAATATTTGTTCTACATAATCAACGAACCGACCAACACCATTACAAAGCTTAGACGACACATTTGACGGAGGCAGCGCTGTCCCCTCTTCCCAACATGATAAGGTTGCTATTGTTCCTTCCATGCACTGGCTTGTATTGGGACAAGACTGGTTTATGATGATTCAGATTTCCCAAAAGGGAGTACAGAAAATTGGGGAAAACATATTTTTTATATACCTATTCTAGTCATTAAACTAGGTCAAAATATTGAAACATTCCAAAAAATTCCTTAATATTTCTGATCAAACTTTTTAATTAATTTTCTGTTTATTTATCGTACAGGAGCTTCAAAAGAAATCGGCACCGCTCTGACCCGAGTATGCCTACGACATAAGGCGGTTGAGACACGCCTGAAAACATTTACAGCCGCAATTATGGACTGTCTGGTACAACCATTACAAGTAAGACCATTGTGAAATATTTCCCGAAGTTCTCATACTAACCTTTCTATTTTCATCTCCTCGTCTTGCAGGAAAAATTAGAAGACTGGAAACGTTCTGTTGCTATGATCGATAAAGAACATGCCAAAGAATATAAACGCTGTCGCACCGAACTCAAAAAACGTTCTACAGATACTCTGCGTCTACAAAAGAAAGCCCGTAAAGGTCAATCGGATAATTTACAATCGTTGATGGATTCGCATATGCAAGATGTCACTCTGCGACGTGCCGAATTGGAAGAGGTTGAAAAGAAATCTTTACGCTCGGCAATGATTGAGGAGCGTATGCGCTATTGTAATTTTGTACATTTACTACAACCGGTCGTTAAGGAGGAATGTGAGGTGATGTCGGAATTGGGTCATTTGCAGGTGAGTTGGAAGAGCTCAGAATGAAAAAATAATTAATCGAAGGGACTGAAGGCTTTATAGCTTAAGGGAGTCTCTTTAAACGAACTTAAGGGATTCTTTATAGACTAGCTGGAGGGCGATCTGGAGGGAGTCTTACACATTTGAAGGAAATAATTATAGGCTAGCTGAAGGCTGAAGAGTCTTTATAGACGAGCTGAAGGGAGTCTTTCATAGACGAGCTGAATGGAGTCTTTCATAGACGAGCTGAAGGGAGTCTTTCATAGACGAGCTGAAGGGAGTCTTTCATAGACGAGCTGAAGGGAGTCTATCATAGACGAGCTGAAGGGAGTCTATCATAGACGAGCTGAAGGGAGTCTATCATAGACGAGCTGAAGGGAGTCTATCATAGACGAGCTGAAGGGAGTCTATCATAGACGAGCTGAAGGGAGTCTATCATAGACGAGCTGAAGGGAGTCTATCATAGACGAGCTGAAGCAGGGAGTCTTTCATAGACGAGCTGAAGCAGGGAGTCTTTCATAGACGAGCTGAAGCAGGGAGTCTTTCATAGACGAGCTGAAGCAGGGAGTCGTTCATAGACGAGCTGAAGCGGGGAGTCTTTCATACACGACCTGTTGCAGGGAGTCTTTACAGACGAGCTGTAGCAGAGAGTCTTTCATAGACGAGCTGTAGCAGGGAGTATTTATAGACGAGCTGAAGGGAGTATTTTTAGACAAGCTGAAGGGAATGTTTATAGACGAGCTGAAGAGTCTGAGAGTATTTAATGGGAAGCTGAATTCCAGGGGACCTTTATATTATGAGGATTCTTGAAAAGAGCGCTGTAAGTCAAGGAGCCTTTATAGGCAGTTGAAAGTCGAGTGATTCTTCATCGATAATCTGAAGAAGGCAGTTTTTTAGATGAACTCAAGCAGGAAGTCTTTACAAAGGAGGTGAAAGCCATGAAGTCTTTAAATAGCGCAGAAGGCCAGGGAGTATTTATGGTCCCTTGTCACTGAAGACTTTTTTCTATAGAAAAATACCTCATTACCCGATGATTAATTTTTCATAGAAAATTATTTCTTTGTTCCGGAGAACGGAGGAAAAAATCCCAGAGAACTCTGTTGTTTATATAAAAAGTATCAATGACTCTAAGGACTGATTTTTTCTATAAAAAGGAAATGTCTCAGCTCCTTTGGACAATATTTTCCCTGTAGAAAACATCTCATATTTTCGAAGCTTTACCAGACAACGCAGTGAAACATTTGTCCATGCTGACTTGTATACTTTTCCACTTACACAATATCTCTTTCTTTCCACCCATCACAGGAAGCAATGCAATCAATTGCTTTGGTTACCAAAGAACCACACGTTTTACCACCTGCCAGTGAGGAATTAATACACGATGCCAAGGCATCGATAACACTATATCCCGAATCGCCAAGTACCAGTGGTGGTGGTGGCGGTTCACTGTCACAGGGAGGTTGTTCCAATTCATTGGGGTCACGTAAGTCATCGGTGTGTTCCATAAGTTCCATGAATAGCAGTGGTTCCAGTAATTCACCCGGCCATCCACACTATCAGAGGTCATTGTCGCAGGTAAGTAAAGGGATTTTTTGTTGGCCCACAGATTTTTCTTTTGAGACATCATGGCAATATTATTTCCATATTTTTTTATTTCAATTCAAATTTTTATTTATTTTTTATAGTATATTTCACCATCAATGCGCTTAAAACCTGGTGAATCCAGTGATAGTGGCTTTTGTTCATCGCCAGCCTTGACAACACAGGTTTTTATTTTTTTGTTTACCACTTTTATTTTTCTTTCTTTTATGATTTCTTTATTTTTGGCTTTGCATTCTTTGCTCATCATTATCACCCCTTATCACATTTCATTTTCATATTGATTTTATGTAAATTATTCACTTATCCTTTACTTTTCCTCTTCTAGGCCTCCTCTATTGCCAATCCTTCACACGCTGTCACTACATGGCCCACACATTCACAGGATGCTGTTGACTTAGCACCCAATGCCACAGATCGACCACACACAATTTCATCAGCCTATGAAAAGGGCCATCAACGGCCTCCCTTAACTGTCTACACCTTTCAAAATCCTGAAACTATACACGAGGGTGGTAATGCAAATGGTAATGGTAGTGCTGCCGGTAGCAATTCCGGTCAAAATACACCATCGACACAGAAGTCACCAGGTGGTGCATTAAATCGTCCTCCACTGCCAGTGGTAAGTTGGATGAAGCCATTTCTATTGTCGTAAATGGTTATAAGGAACTAGAGGAAAAGGATTTACAAATAATGGAATCTATTTTGAGACTCCTTAAAGTAGGCCATATTGTAATGTTGTTCATTATAACCATTTACAATAATATTTAAAGAGGTGTTTTATTGTTTTTGTGTTTCTAAATGCTGTCTTTGTTGTTGTTTTGTAAATATGCTTCTGTTTGTCTTGTATTTTAATGTTCTCGATAACATTGTTTTTTGTGTGTCTTTGAAAAAAAGAAACCAGCTCATGTGGTAAGTGTTAATCCTTCAAAATGTTATGCTCCCTGGTTTCTCTCGATTTTCTTAGATTTCCCTTTTCTGAACAAAATTCAATTTCATTCTTCTCCATATCCAGTAGTAATGTTTGCTAGTTTTCTCACGTCATTCGATTGGATTGTTCCCTAACAACTTTTAATCCCCTTTTCAAAATACATTTCAATATCCTTACATTTTAATAAAAATTCAGATTACTTATGTATGCTAGAAGAGGTTCATGAAAACCATATAACACTATTGTGTTGTTTTTGGAATTAAAAATACAATTTTTCGACTGGTTAAAATAATAGCTTTGAGACTAGCTGAGCCGATCTAGACATGTGTGTCCGTCTGTCCATTATAGTAAGTAAACACGATATAGGCCACAATTCACGATATTTTGAATGTAGGATGGGTTCTGGCCAATGAAATGGACCAAAACTTTATTTGGTTCAAATTTTATCCAGAGGTTGCAATTATGGCCCAAACATCGCAAATTTTTACGTGGAGAAGGGGATCGGGCCATCGGTAGTACAAAATGAAAAAATTCGCTGTTGAAAACATAAATTTACTGTGAAAAAAAAATCATTTCGGGGGGCCGGGAAAAAACGGAGCCGTCCGACTATACAGCTCCGCTTTTTTTGTAAAATAAATGGAAAGACAACTCAATTGTCTTCGTTCAGGTACAGGGGTAAATATATCTCTTTGAAGATTATGATATGGTTCCAAATATTTTGAACATAGCATTTCGATTTTTTTTCTTATGAAAGGTTCATCTTTAGGTATTTTAAAAGATGACACTTTCTGGTTCTTTTATTTGAAATGAAATTACCTTCTTCATGTCTTCTATAACAAGTTATTCGGCAGCTGCTATATAAGAAGATCTTTTTCGGCCCTATTATAAGTCTAGACTGCAAATTATTCTTCGACATCTTTCTGAGAACCTCAGGAGAAGGCAGTCATCTCTTTTTATGAGCAAGACTCCAGAACACATATCCTCTATGAATGGAAGCCTTCGGCAGTTATTCTTCACAGAAGGCAGACTGATTCTATCAGAAGGCAGACTTCTAATAGAAAGGATTCTTTGTGAGAAGATAGCAAATTTAGAAGATCCTGAGAACCTTTTCTATTGTATCGTATATGCTTTTGGTCGGCAAGAACATTTTTCATGAATGGTTATATTCCAATAATACTAAATAATTTTATTAAAGACATCTGTAATATATTGGGTGGGGGAAAATTTTGCAATGCAGGAAAAATATTGATAATCGCTTGGTGCCAAGTCCGGACTGTATGGCGGATCCATTAAAACTTCCCAACCAAGTTCCGGATGTTTCTGGCGATTCACTGTAGATGTGTGTGTCCTAGCGCTGTCCTGGTGCAACACGAAGCCAATTCTGCCCGTTCCTGGTCAATTGATATCTTCAAACAGTCCAGTTGTTGGGAGTAGAGATGAGAATTTAGCGTTTGGCCATATGGAAGCAACTCATTATAATTAATCCCCTTCCAGTCCTACTAAATGCATAGCACAACCTTCCTGGCCGTTAGTCCTGGTTTGGCCACCGTGCTTTACCGCTCTTCACACAGGGTTATCCTGTGCGATCTATTTCTCATCTCCAGTCACCATCACCATCAAATGGGTCTATTTCATTCCGTTTGGCCAAGGCTTCGCAGATGGAAATTCGATCCATCCTATTTTTTCTGTTAATTGTTGTGGCACCAAAACATAGAGCTTTTTTTGAATCCAGCTTTGTTTAAATGGTTTAACACAGTTTTATGATCGATTTGTAGCTCCTGGGCGATGTTTCGACTGCTAACATGCCGATCAACTTCGATCATTTCTCCGATTTTATCGACTTTTTCGACGACCGGCCTAATGGATGTATTTTTCCCCAACCTAATATTTTGGTTTTGATTTTGACTGACCGATGTTTTGACAGAGCTACACACTTATATTGACATTTTCTGATGAATCTGTTTATATCTGCTACCTTTAAAGTTTTAGGCGAACATTTTGACAAGTTGTCTGTTTTTCAAAATTTATATCATCATGTACATTATAATAAATAAAATATGCAATTTTTATTCGTTATATTTTATTTTTAAATATTTTTAATAATTATCGCAAAGACTCATTTAAAATAAATTTAAAATTGAAGTATTTAAATTTGCTCTCTTAATAATCAGTGGAATCTTTTTTCCTATAAATATTATTGCACTATATTCATTAAAATTTATTTCTCTTCTCTTAAAAAATCATTGAAATCCTTTCACCTTCTCGTTGACACAGTTTCCCATGTAATATAATAATGTAAACTAAAAGTTCCCTTTCTTTTTTACAGCGTTGTTCATCATTGGAACGTCCATTGATTGCCAGCGGCAATACACGTGGTGGCAATGGTCCAAATATTATGCAACGTCAGTGTCCATCACCGATACCGGCTCATGTAACCAAAGGTATGTTGTCAACGGTAAACGCGATGGCGTCACTAAACTAATTAAAAAAATGAAACCTCAACCCACACCTTAGCCTATTTGTCCTTAGTCCTTGTTCCTTTTGTCTATCACCCACACCCAACACACCACACCCACCCACTTTAATAAAACAAAATAATTTCCACCTGCTGAGAAATGAAAGTCTCTTCTTTTTTATTTAATTAAGCTCAACATTGAACTAATTGTGCTAATTTTTTACTTAATATGCTTTTTTATTTTCTTTTCTATCCCATCAAAATAAAAAAAAAACACAAACTGCCACCCATCACCAACTCCTACTGCTGCTGCTGAATTTTCTGTGTGTGTGTTTGTGTTCAATTAACCAACAAACCAATCAAAACTGGCAACCAAAACAATGCTACAATAAAATGAAACATGTTATGGTGTAATTCTTTTTACTACTTTATTGTTATTTCTTATATAAAAATTTACATTTTTTTTGTATTGAAAACACAAACAAAAAAATTGCCAACAACTTTTTTTGTTCCCCCGTCCTCCTCTGCACGTCTTTTTTGTGTGTTTTTCCTTTTACAATTATTTTTTGTTTGGATTTACTCACCTAAAAAATTGCAACACAATCACGTTATGTGAATGTGTGCGTGCATATATATACATATATTGCTTTTGAGAGTAGAGCTAGCAGCCCATCTTGCTCAGCAACAACATTTGCAACAGCAGCAGCAACAATCAGCTCAGCAGCAGGCTTCAGCTGTGCACAATCAACAACAGCTACAACAACAACAATGTTCCCCGCCTACCTATGTTAATATGTCGGAATTGGCCAATATGGCAGCAATGAAGCAACAACAACAATCATCATCATCATCATCACCCCCAACCTCGACAGTACACCAAAATCAACAGCAGCAACAACAACAGGCTGTATTACAGCAACAACACTCCATTGATTCAATATCATCCCTACACTCAAATGATTCAAATCAATCGGTGGCATCCTCGGGCCTGCAACAACAACCACACCCTAATCAACAACAACAACAACCGAATACACCACAACACAACAGTCAAACATCATCAACACCCATACACCAACATCCAACAACAACACAACGTTCCCATTCCTCTAGCTCGATGACACCATCGCTACACTCACATCCATCCATTGATTCCACATCGTTGGCCACACCATCCATTGGACAAACTCCCACCCATTCGAGTGGCAGTTCAACACCCCAAAACCACTATTCACCATTGCTCAACAATTCCCTATCGTCAACGGCCGCTGGTACACCCAGTGGTTCCAGTATTGCCAGCGGTAATATGTCCCTGAGTGGTGGTGCCCCCGCATCTGGTGGCATCATTGCCGGCGGCAATGGTTCGGGTAATAATAGTTTTGTCTATAATGTCTGCTCGCCCACACCACCGCTTAGCGCCAATTCCTCTCAGGCTAGCGATATTTTGAAAATCACCGAAAATGACGGCGGCAATAATGGTGTTGTCAATATGCAGCAACAGCAGGAAACCGCATCCCCACCCGGAACAACAACTAATAATAATAGTAGTAGTATTAATAGTGAAATTCAGCCACCACCATTAAATGCTAACACCATTAACAGTAGTAGTTCCATGTCCAATACAACAAATTCAATTCAAGATAATTCTAATTCCAATACTACATCAGCAGAGGCAGACAACACCTCCACTTCGTCATCATCCGGGGCTGTTGTTGAAAATGATGAACGTTCCCGGGCATCGGTATTACAAAAAGCCTCCATGTTTGAAAAACAGGCGGCAGCTGCCAAAAATGCACCAATACCTTCATCCTCCTCGTCTTCGTCGTCAGCATCTGCTGCTGGTGGCGGGGCACGCCATTCACCAGTTGTTGTTGTTGAAGGCGGCGGCGGTGGTATTTATGGTACACGCACCGCCATCAACACAAATAATCATCACAGCCAACAGCACTCAGCACAACAATCACAGCCAATTGATCCTCAGGATGTGGGTAAGTAGAACATATGCAACTATTTCACTTTTATTATTTCCCCTTCTATTGAATATAACTTTCATTTGGTCCACAAAGACCTTTCCTCCCCACACTAACTAGTTATCATCATCATCTATTGATCCCCTTTGTGATATAGATATTAATACACTATTATATTATCCTGTTTGTTAGATTGTTATAGATGGATCTACTAGATACATATTGTTATATAAAAACTCTGTTGAATTATTTTTACTTTGATTTCGGTATTCATTTTGTTTATACCATTCCTGTTTTTTAAATTCATTTCTCATTTTGAGGTTAGGTTTAGATTCGCTCACCCTTCTAAATATTGTAAAAAAGAAATTGATCGAATAGAATAAGAAATGGAACGGGATGTTTTTTGTATTCCTATTAGTATATAAACATATATAACTGCCGACCCTTTAAATTTTAGCGAAAGTTTCTATGGTAAGATTATTTTGTAATGGAACCAAAAACTTAATTTGGCTCCTTTTTACGACAAGACATTCTATTGTACATCGTATTTATGGAGGACAATTATAACTGAGTTATTCAACAGATCCTTCAGCACCCCTACGCTCGCTGCTTCAACGGTGTAATTTTTTAGTAAAAAGTGTAAAGTTTATTGTTGAATCTTTCTGCCAATATCGGCCCACGTTTCGGAGTAACCCCCATATAACAGTACACAAATTTTCGGTATTTTGTTTCTATTTATGTTATGTTTGGGTGGCTAATAAATTATCAATAATAAATTATCAATATCTTCACTCTTTTCGAAGTTACCTCCAATTGTCGGTATTTTAAGAATTTCAAATATGATTTTAATATGTTGGGTTCTCATTGAGTGGCAAATCTTCCTTTTGTATAATGAAAATCATCCATGCAGAAGCTGCTCAATATATCTATATATTTTGACTTAGCCTCCATGTAACGATTCCGATCAATATATCTCTATATTTTGACTAAGCCTCCATATAACGATTCCGACACATTTTTGTTATTTTGAAGGTACTACCTTCCTACTTGCAGTATTCTTTAGGTTTCGTGGCTGCAATCGGATTCTTGGAGGATAGAAAACCTTTTAGCAAAAATGCTCATCATTGGTCCATATTTTGACATCCATATAACGATTCCGGGATTTGGATTTCGTGGCTGTAATCGGATTTTCAAAATATAAAATATATTATACCAAAACAATTTTCAATATAGGTCCATATATTTACCTCCATTCTCGATTCCGATCATTCTTGCTGTATTTCGTTTTGAGAGGATAAAATAACTTCTAGCAGAGAAGGCTCAACATAGGCCAATATATTGAAATTCATAAAACTATTCCGACACCTTTTGTATATATTGAAATTCATATCTCGCTTCCTGCAGCATTTTTGAGATTTAATGTCTTCAATTAGGACTCAGAGGATAAAATACCTTCTGACAGAAAATGATCAATGTAGGTCCACATATTGTCGTCATTGCCTCAGTATATAAATAATTGCCTCAGTATAATAATTCAGACCTTTTTGCACATTTTAAAGGTCCTACCTTCATTTCTTATTTCTTAGAGTGTGAAAAATCTCCTCATAGATTTTTTGTAGTAGAACCCAGATTCAAGGCTTGCCTTGGTGTTTTGAATTTAAACAGAATTAAATTTTTTGAGATTCATATTTTAGGATAGCCTCCATATCACAATTCACAACCCTTAAAGGTATTTTGAAAATCCTAACAGCATTTTGCAGGCCTAAGTACCTGTAACTTGAAACGGATTCTTTTTAGAGTGTGGAATATTTCCTCGTAGATTTTTTTGTCATAGACCCCATTTTCAGGGTATATTTGATTGAAGAGAATTACAAATTTTAATATTGGTTTGTCCCATTTTTTGTAGTTTATTAAAAGAGTCGTCTATGTCCAGGAAAGTGGTCGATGTGTGTATTAAGGTCTGACCTTTATCTGCGACATATTTGCCTCTAACAGCTGGGAAATATATAGATAAAAAATATAGTCCTATTTTTGGGGTCGTATTTTTCGTTCATAATATTAGAAACGATGTAAGAGTCTGAGTTTCTCGTAAGGATGCGAATAAATCATTTGCGCTTTGTTCGACTTAGACACTCTTGCATTTGCATTGTACCGGATGTATTACATACAAGAAGGTCTGTCCTTTATCTGCGATATGTATATTTACTTCTAGCAGCAGATGCCTAGGGAAAATGGTTGAAAATATAGTCCACTCTTTGAGGGTCATTGTCAATTTTTGGTTCATAATATTAGAACAGAGTCTGAGTTTCTTGACCGGGTCAGGATGAATCCTTTTGCGCTTTGTTCGACTTACAACTTGAAAATGTGAACTTTACAAAAAACTCACCAAACATGCAGAAAAAAACATTCACTGACATTTCTAAAATTCTTTATAAAGGTAGCTTTCATATTGGCCACCAATCGTGCCCAATCATTATCAAAAACTAAGATTTTTGATTAGTTCGAATTTTGGAGAAAACTCACCATACCTGATTTCTATGAAAATTAATTATTAGTTTTCCATTTAAAAGGGAAAATGAATTTAGTTTCAGTTTTTTAAAATTTTTAAATTTTTCGGTTATTTTCATTTAATTTTTAATATAAATATCCCCCACATCCCTCCATACCCCCATCCATTATTTCATAATTTACCACAGAAAATGATACTCCCCACTTATGTTTTTCTTATGTTTTGTTTTTTGACTAAACGATTTTGTTTTTCTTTTTTATTTTTCTTTCGTCTTTCTTTTTACCCCAACAAAAACCCCATATGTTTCCACAAAACCCCCTTTTTATGTTATTTGTTTGCTACAACAACAACAACCATCAACAAACAACAACTATATACAACAATACTCTGCAAATCTACAACAAACATTTATTTTATATATATAAAACCACCCGCCCCATACCGAATATTGTATCAACATCACCTTGTTGTAAATATGGCACCAACACTACGAATATATTACAACAACAATTAAATATATAAATAAAAAAACAATGCACAAATGTCCCCTACCCTATCAACTATACAAAACCAACATACTTCTTCCTTCCATATACTATATAAAAATATATACATACACCAAACACCCTTTTGCCAAATTATAAAATGCAATGGCAAACCAAAACACCCTTTGAAAAAACAAAACCTCTCTTAGACAAATGTTTCGAAGATTCTTTACAAGAATTAAATAATTTAATTGGCGAATTAGATTCTTTTCAACGTGAAATAGATGCCAGCAAGGAACAACAAAAGCAGCAGCAGGCGGCATCCTCACCCCAACAGCAGCACCAGCAACACCTCGTGAAAAATGTCAAGAACCTCTATGATGGCCTGGACGATGCCTACAATTGCAACGAAACAATGACAATAATAACTGATGATACCACTACCACCATAATCTGTGAATCCCAACAACACCAACATCAATTACACCAACAAATGGCCGATAAGGATTTCTGTACGGCCAGCAATCAAACCAACAGCAGCGGTTGTGGTACAGATATTTCCGATACAACCTCAGAGGATTGTAATGCCGATACCCGTTCCCTGACCAGTCAAACTGGTGGTGTGGTGTTGAAGACAAATTTGAAAAGTTTATCAGGCGGTGCCTATAACTCAGATTCGGAATTGAGTCGTTGTTATGTGAGTGAGACTAGCTCGATAATGGGCGGTGCCGGTGATGGTTATGAAAATCCCACATTTGCCCATTTTGCTGTGTCCTCCACATCGGGTTCACAGTGTTATGATGACAATCGTTCGGATACCATATCGCTGCAACGTCATGGTATTTATGCCGACAATCTCAGTGATAGTGGTAGTAATGTGGTGGTGATCTATGATCATCAACCACCCATGACACCGGACATAGATTATGCCAAGCAAAATTCGGAAATAGTTATGCTTCGCACGAAACCACAGCCTTACGCATTGGGACAATACGATCAGCAAGAAATGAGAGAGTTACAGCAGCTGCCCAGCAATTTGACAGAGTTGCCGTTATCGCCAACCGACTCACCCGATCATCATCAGCATGTGGCCACGGTGCAGCCGGCCAAACAGCGTCTCTCCTCGTTTCGGGCATCCAGTGAACAGTTGCAGCTATTGAATAGCCCCTCGACACCGACATCAACAAAAGGTATGAATTCAAATAAATTTCATAATGGTAATAGTTGTGACAACAACAGCAGCATCGATTTGAAACATTTGAGCCATGGTGATAATGTTGTTCATGATGTAACAGGAACAACAACAACAGCGGCCTCAAATGCAACGACAATGACACCAAATGATGGCTCTATAATACGTAAGAAATTACCACCAAAACCTCCAAGTCTATCAGTGTTTCAAGGTAATGACAAAAATGGTCATATAATCACCAGTAACAACAACATCAATAACAACAACAATCGTCGTAGCTTAAAAATGGTAGCACCACCGAGTGCAGTGAAATTAGATTTTAAAAGTGATTTAGAGGCTAAAATATTGAAACAAAAAGAAAAATTAAAGAAGCAGCAACAACAAACAAACACTACAACAACAACATCCTCATCACCTCCACACAACAATCTGCAAACCACAAATTGTGTGGCTGGTAATAGCAGCAGCAACAACAACAATCATCATCAACAACACCACCACAGTATTAATTGTAATTCCAATTGTCCCAATACCACAACAACAACTATAAAAAATAGCCTAAAATCATTATCCATGGATGTGTCCGCATCATCATCATCAATATCATGTTCTTCATCCTCCATAGTGTCAACATCAATATCATCCTCATCTGTGTATGCTAGCAATAGAGAAACTTTATCATCATCATCAATATCATCTGTAGTGACACCTACAAATCATAACCATGCTCACCATCATCCTTCTTCTCAAAACAATCATCATCATCACCATTTAAATTTGAATACCTCAAATAGCTCTACTCACATTTATTCCAAATCGCCCTTAACAGCTTCTTCGTCGTCGAAAGCCTCGTCTGTACCACCAATGCCATCATCATCATCTACAAAATCGGCTCGTCCAACGCCATTATCATCATTAAATGTTGTTACACCACCATTACCACCTCCTATACCACAGCCACCAACAGCATCATCCCACAACCAGCAACAAGATAGTGTGTCGTCATCATCTTCTTCTACTTCTATGTTGTGTAATAATAACAATACATCCCCTGTACTTCCATCCAATATTGCCAAGCCGAGCATTACGCCCAGACCAGCTTCATTATCGTCGGGTTTGTGTTCCTCAATTTTTTGTCAATAATTTTTGGTTTTTGTTTTAAAAAATTTCAATTTGGGTTTGTTTGATATTTGTTTGTGTTGGTCTAAAATGTTGTGTTTATACTAAAATATAAAAATTATTGTATTTGGTTTTTTGGATTTTTTTGTATTAAATAATTCTCATTTACTTTATTGAGTTACAATTTTGCTTTAATTTGGATTTTGGGCTAATAATATTCTAAAAATGGGTTTTGAGACAAGGTATCAATATTTTTTGAAATAAAATACACCTGTCTCACCTCTGCTCTTAACCTGGTCTCTGCTCTTTCAAACCTGGTGTTTGGCTTCCTTAACCACCCCCCTCTCCCCCAGAATGTATTGTGTGTTCGTTTTGTCCTAACCAAAGCTTTGTCTAACCTGGTGAAATGTCTAACTTTTCATACCCCCGTTGTTTCTTCTAACTATTCCCCCAACTATATAACCTTTTATATATGTGTACATTATAAAAAACTGTTTTCAGATCGTATCAGCTATTTTGTATATCATTCATCAATTACACTTTTTTACACAATTGAAATACATACAGACAGAATCATTTCATTTTCCCCCTATCCCTATACACAATGAATATTTTAATTAAAACAAATTAAAATACACTACACACACACTCACACATTTGTATAATAAAACAAAAATCAATAAATCATCAAACGTATACATACATACCAATAAATAATTATATGTGTGTGTATGATGTTGTCAAGTGTAATTTATAAACGGAATAATTTAAACAAACTGCAAGCAAGAATGATTATGTGTGCATATCAAAATAAATAATCTCTCCTCTCAAATAAGCCTTATTTCAAATAGCAGCCTGTGTTTAATCTAATCTAAAACAAAATAATAACACCAGCATTATCATGATATTAAAACCATAAGCAATGAGACGGAACAAGAACAAGAAAAACAAAAAAAAACATTAAAGGATTATGAGAAAATTTCCCATCTAATTGTGTCATGGTTAATTAAAATTGATATCGAAATTATAGCATACTTTTAGGAAATTTCAAAATCTTGTATTAATTAAAATTATTACATACTTTTAGGGGCAAAATCTATGCAGCACTTAAATGAGGAGTCTATAGATGAGCTGGAGTAGAATTCATTCGTAGACAAGCTAAAGAGAGAGCCTTTATAAACGAGCTAAGAAAGTATTTATAGACGAGCTGAGGGAGTTTTTATAGACGAGTTGAAGTGAGTCTTTATAGACGAGTTGAAGTGAGTCTTTATAGACAATCTGAAGGGAGTCTTTATAGACGGGCTGAAAGAGGCTTTAAAGACTGACTGAAGGGAAGGGAGCTGGAGTGAGTCTTTATAGACGAGCTGGAGTGAGTCTTTATAGACGAGCTGGAGTGAGTCTTTATAGATGAGCTGAAGTGAATCTTTATAGACGAGCTGAAGGCAGTCTTTATAAACAAACAGAAGGCAGTCTTTATAGACGAGCTGAAGGCAGTCTTTGTAGACGAGCTGAGGGGATTTTGTGAAGACGACCTAGAATATGACGATACTGGTTAAGCTGAACCTCAGGGAATATTTAGACGACGAATGAGAGTGAGAAGCTTAGGAAGTCTATGTAAACGAACGGAAGCAGATGTGTCTTTATAAATTAGTCGTATGAGTCTTTAGAGACTAACTGAAGAAGATTCAATAGTTGAATTGAAGGAGTGTATTTAGGCGAACTAAAGGAAGTTTTCTCTGTAGATTAGTTGTAATTCAGGAAGCCTATAGATGAACTGATTGGACAGTGATCTTTTAAAGATCCAAACCAGCTCGTTTTAAAGAATTCCCAAATAGCTGTTCTTTTATAAAGACTCGCTGAAGACTAGCTGAAGGGAAGGAACTTTTTTTATAGGTCAACTCCTTTATCGTCAATATCTAATAAAAAATCTCGTATGCCTACAACAATCGTCTCTAATTATAACTGATTTGGATGAAACACCACCACAATGGCCTCCACTCAATCCTAGCCCACAGCAACAGTATTCCACAAAGCACCACAATGAAATCCAACTCTAATAAAAGGATATATTGAGGGACTGATGGTAGTACTTATAGATTTGAAACTAAAAACTTAGATTTTTTGAAAAAAAAAAACATACTCGAGCTAAATATAATCTGAAGGTAAAAGTCCTAACATACATGAGTCTTTATATAGACTAAAGATGTAGCATACTTTTAGGTGTTATATTTTTGGATGTATTATTTTTATTAAGTTATATTACGATTTATCAGATTTTTGGGAATTAAACCAAACTTTTCCTTTAAAAAGGTTTTTGCTAAACTTTTAAAAAAAATGCTCCACAAACTTATATAAAAAATTTCAAAATCTTTTAATGTTTTTGTTTGTTTTTCGTCTTCTGTTCCACATATCAAATGGCAAAGTAAATCTGTATAACTCAATAACTATGAGAATGAAGTAATTATGGTGTCTTGTCTAACATGTATATTTGCATAACAAAATCTCTAACAGTCAACGCTGTTATTTACCACAAATTAAAACAACTAATATAAATTTCTTTAAATTAATATAAAAAAATCTTTTTACTAATTCTTAAATTTATATTACCAAACAGGATCGACACGCATTGCACGAAGATCTTCGGTTAATACTGCCAAACCACCACCGCCAATTAGACGCAGTTCATCAGTAACACCTAGTCCAAATACACCAACAACGGTAAGTTTATTATTGATAAGAAAATTTTAAATTTTAAAGCTCAATATGTGGAATGAGAGATTTGAAATCTGCCCTTTGGATTGGTGTAAATACGATAGAAGAAAAAATTCCAAACTTTCCAAAACCAAAAATAAACTCACAAAAACACAACTCTAATCTCTTTATTCTCTAAAACACACATTTACACACTCAAATATCTTTGTTTTATTTTTAATAATTACTTTTTATTTGTTTTAATTTTGTTGTGTTTCTTTTTAATTTTTTTCGTTATTTTCCCTTTAAAATAAAAACCACCACAATTATAGCCAACGAATGCAAGCAACACAAATTTATTACAAGCCCATTCGTTGAATACTTCTACTGAAAATTTACCACCACCACCGGCCTATCTCTTGGATGGACGTCAAACGACACCAAATAATCAACAGCAACAACAACCACCTCCACCACCGGTTGGTATGCCTAGTTCTTCGTTAAAGGTTTCGGATACGGTAAAAGCTTTATCAGCTGGCCTGAGACATCAACCAGCTTCACCACAAACTTTAAGACGTCTGCAACAACAACAGCAGCAACAACAACAAATGGTAACATCGCCACCACCAATGTTGCCAAGTGCAACACAATCCATGTTACAGGTGAGGAGAGGTGGTCACGCTTATATCCAAAACAAAAATATCTTCATCTTCATTTGGAAATGGATTTTGAGCTTTGTTTCGCCATTAGAAAATCTGGTGAAATGTTGTAACAAAATAATGTTTCTTTCTTTACATTAGTTGGAGCTTTTCTTCTATATAATTCATTATATATCATTTCATTTTTAACTTTATTTCTTTCTATATTATTTTATTTTGTATTTTTAATTTCTTTTTTCTTTCTTTCTTTTATGGCTTTTTGATCTTCACCTAAATACACCATCATCATCATCTTCACCATCACCACAATACACCACCACACCTGTAACCATTATCTATATATTTACCACCTACCTACCCTATAAACGCACAGACTCCTTTAAATCACTATCATCATGATCTATATTCACCCATCCTAACCGCACCTGCTTCACCCATTATCTTGCCAATGCATGACGAGCCCGACTATGATGCTTATTATGACACTTATGTTGAAGTACAACCATATGATCTAGAAGCTAGTCCTAGTCCTAGTCCCGCCACTGCTATAATACATAATCCAATCATTTCGTCCTCCAACAACCACAACAATAATACAATTCCCAAAATTTATCCACAGCAACCGAGACAATATCACCATCAATATACCAAATCTTCTCCGGTGCTTTTATCTCCAATATTGAGTAAAAAATCTCGTACGCCTACACCCCCAACACCACCACCCATAAATCGTTCTTTAATTATAACCGATTTGGATGAAACACCACCACCTTTGCCACCACCCAATCCCAGCCAACAGCAACACTATTCCACAAATCAACAACAGTTACGCTATCAACAGCAACAGTTGTCATCGAATTATAGCCACCAACAACAACAACAAATGCAGCATCAAAATTATTATGATAATAATGGTGATGCCATCGTTTATGGTTCCAAATCACCAACTGTAAGTCAAGTGCTAGTAGAAAATTGCTACACATGTTGCATTCCATCAGAAAAACAAAAAATAGAATTGAGTTCATGTTTGTCAGCAAAAAAATTAACCTCAAAACTAACCAGTCATACCATATTTGTTAACTAATCCTGTTCACCAAAAAAATCAAACCAATTTAAAAAACCAACATGTTCTTAAAGAAGGGAAGGAAAAGAATCTGAAAGGAGTCTTCAGAGACAAGTAGCAGAGATATTTATAGACGAGTTGTAGTGGGTCTTTGTAGACGAGCTGAAGGGAGTCCTTATAGACGAGTCTTTATAGGCGAGCTAAAGGGAGTCTTTATAGACGAGCTAAGGGAGTCTTTCATACACGATCTGAAGGGAATCTTTCATAGAGGAGCTGAAGTGAGTCTTTCATAGGCAAACTGAAATGAATTTTTATAGAAAAGCTGACGGATGTCTATAGAAGGGGTGATGGAAGGCTCCATAGACGAGCTGAGGGAAGTAAAAGAGAGGTTTATAGACGAGCTGAAGGGAGTCCTTTAGAGGAGTCTTTATAGTTCTTATAGTCCAAATATATAGCATACTTTTAGGCGACAGGTGCTACTCATGCATACTAGACAGAATGTAGAACAGTTTGCAGCAACGACAGTTCCATTGAAGCGGATTCCTGCTTCTTCTTTGATCTCAATCTCTTCACTGACACATGTCTTTGAGACTGATTTGATTTTTATAGACAAACTGTCCCTTTACATGAGGTGGATAGTCTATAGAAGGGGTGATGGAACATGCTTGCTTATTAAATTTGTGTCTTCGTCAACAGATTGTCCTCCCATATACCTTTCTGTACGGTTCCTCTTTGGCAGCGGGGATTTCCAATTCCATTTCTCCTCAGTAGATGTTTTCCTCTGCAGAAACGGTTTATCGGGTGATGCCAATGTCGGTATCGAAGTTTCCATATCTGTACACTTGACATTCTTGTTTACAATACCTGAAGGTCACAGCTGCCTAGAGGATAACAATTTTATTTCCGTGATATAAAAAAGTCTTCCTCTGAGTCGGTCTGAGTGCTTTTCTGAATGTTGACTGTTAAACAATAATGTGATAATATTGAAACGAACCCCCTGTATCAAGTGGTAAATTTATTGATACGACTAACTTTTTTTATCCTGCAACTAACACTAAAAACTACACAACAATTTTTAAAACTACACACCCATTTTTAACACGAAAGTTTTGGAATGAATATTTTTATTACGCTTACCCAGCTTAACATTGTCACAATAACCAATCTGTTACATATTGAAAATAACATTTGTTTTTATGTTGATTACAATTCCATTTCACAAATATTTTTAATTCGCTTTATTCTTTCTTTATCTTTCTCTCTTGCATTTCCAGTCATTTCGCACTTCATCACCCGGCGGCATCTATGCACAACCGAAAATTCTAAATAATATGTCGAGTTTTCGTACAAATAGCCCCGGTCCGAACAATGGTCATCAGACGCCAACAACACAGTCGCATGTACCAGCTCAACCAAAAACCAATCCTAATCTAATAGCTCAATTAAATGCCCGACTAAATAGTAAACAACAGAACAGCAACAGTGATGGCATCTATGGAGTCTCGCAGCAGAGTAGCAGGGAACGATCGGATGATATTTATATGCGCAATTATGGACAACAGCAGCAGCAACAAATGTCGCCTCATGTATCACAGCAACAGCAGCAAACCTACGACGGTAAATTTATTGAAAATTCTAAAATAAAATTATATGGTAGTTTTAGCACTTCATCATCAACACAACAATTGTCATCAGCATCATCTTCATCGTCGGCAACAACAACATCATCTTCATCCAAAACATTAGTACACAAACAAAATCAGCAACATCAGACATCATCTTCTTCATCTACTTCTCATACCAATTCCACCGCCACAACACATCTCACAGCCTCGGCTAGTTTTAATGCTTCACCACATTTTCCACTCTCCTCATCGACATCATCGTTATTATCCAAAGTATCGTCCTTTGCCAAAGAATCCAATTCGTCTGGTATTTCAGTGAAGGCCAAACATCATCATCATAGTACTGCTAGTAGTAGCTCTTCCCATAATTCTTCCAATGCGTCTTCTTCTTCTTCAACTGTAAATACTGTAAACTCTTCTTCTACCGCTTCTCACTATCATCCTCCTATCAATAATTCCTCAAAACAAAATGCAGCCGCTGAAACAAACGCCAATGCCAATAATCCATTGTATCAAACGAATCCGAATTCATATAATTCTTCTCAATATTATGCGCCTAAACATATAACAGCTGCTGGCCACCATCATCCCACTGCCAATAATCAGCAGCAGCAACATCATCAGCAACAACAGCGACAGCAGCCGCCTTTGTCTCAGTCCCCTCAATTGCCAGCCCATCAGTCGATATCACATTACCAAAGTGGTGGCCATCAATCGCAGCAGCAGCAGCAACAGCCACATTATACGTGTCCCCCACCGCTTGAAGATCCACCTCCACCACCAATTCATGGCAATAACAATTCAGCTACCATGCCTAAACGTGGTATCAATCATCATCATCACCATAATCAGCAGCAGCAGCAAGCCCATGCCACCACAAATTTGGCTTCATATGCTGCGGCTTCTTCATCGGCCACTTTGCCCAGAAATATGATGCAACAACAACAACGTTTACATCTGCAGCAGCAACAACAGCAAAGCCACTATGGTACTACCCAAGGAGCCCAACAGCAACAATATCACGCCCCGGCCGCCATATCCGCAGGCCATCAACAGGATCAACAGCGTCAGCAACAGCAGCAGCAATATCAGGCGCCACAGAATATTAGCCAAAGGCCACCAATGCCACTGCCACATCACTCAAACCAGCAACAACAACAACAGACACAACAATATCAACAACCAACACCACCATCCTCTGCTGCCGGTGGCAATAGGCAAAGGACAATTTCTAGCTCTTCGGTGGCAACAAACAAGCAACAACAGCCACCACAACAACCACCAATACCCTCACGCCATTCCAGTGTTCAACAGAAAATATTTGTAGCCACCAATCCGTTCATACAAACCACCACAATACACTGCCAGTCACCCGGTGCGGGTGGTGCATCATCCGTCCATTCTCAGCCGGCATCGCCGATTTGTAATTCCCCCACACCCTCGTCCATAGCCAGTATATATGGTACCAGTGGTCGACGTAGTAGTGGTGGTGGCAGTGCAGCCGCCATGAGTGGTGGAGGCGGCAACAGCGGTGGCCACTATGATTCTGGTAATGGTGGATCCTCCATATATTACAATCATCATCATAATCATCATCAGCCACAGACGACATTTACCACGGCCAATACAAGTGAGATAACGACGTTTGTTATGCCTGCAATTTTGTTTTGAGTTTGACGTTTGTTCTCAGTTTGTTTTGAATTTTTCTTCAACAAAATGAGATTTTATTTTCATTTGAGTTTAATTTTTGTGAATTACGTTTCTTTCCACCTCGTTATCATTATCATCAGGAGAGAAACATTTTTGTTGATTTTTTCTGCATGCTGCTTTGGTTTTCTTGTTCAGTTTTGTTATAAATTATTTTTTAAAAAATTTAAAAAACATTTCTTATGACGCTGCCAAAACCACTAGGCCAACAAATTTGGGCCACCACAAATTAAAAACTGCCGCTGCATTTTGTACAAAAAAGAAAATATACCAACCTGTGAAATCTCTGACCTAACTTCGCATTTCCTAATTTCATGCTCCCCTTTCAAACTTTGTCATAATTATTGTAGTAATATTTTCATTCATTCATCAATCATTTGACATTAGCACAATTTTAGAAAAATTGTATATTGTATTTAAAATTTTAATTATTTAATGCACTTCCCTGTACTACAAGTGTCCAAAATTTGCATTTATGTTCTTCTATAAAAAATTTTCTTTCATTTGCCATCATTTTCTGAGTGTGGTGAGTTTCTTTCGAAATTCATCATACCTTGCAAATAACGGAATATGATAAAAAAGTCGTTTGCGATCACATATCAAACTTTATTTGACTTCAAATTGTGAATCTATACCACCTTTATGGTGATTTGAAATTTGAAAATGAATTTACATGTTTATAGATACTATGTACAGAACTCCTGCTTTCATTCGCCATAATTATTTGAGTGTGGTGAATTTCATATGAAACTCACCACACCTTAAAAAGTATTGGAATGACATAAAAATCATTTACGATTCTTTAAAAAATATTTTTAATTCTTTTAGAATTTATATTCATTAATTATGACACCTTTACGGCGAATTGAAAATTGCATATGACTTTTAATGTTTATTTATGTTATGCGCAGAACGTCTGCTTTCATTTGCCACCATTTCTGAAGTGTGGTGAATTTCATATATAATTCACCACCTCTCAAAAAATGTGGGGTTGGCATAAATAATCATTTACGATTACATGTAAAATGTCATTTATTCGTTTTGAGTTCAATTTCGTTAAATATGATGCCTTTGCGGCGAATTGAAAATTGACCATTTCGTTAAATGTTCATTTATGTTATGTACATATGGCTTGCTTTCATTTGCCACCAATTTTGGGGTGTGGTGAATTTCTTTTGGAACTCACCACACCTCGAAAACGATCGGATTTGCATAAAAATCGTTTATGATATAAAATATTATTAATTCGTTTCAGGTTAGAAATCTTTAATTATGTTGCCTTTATGGCGAATTGAAAATTGCTAACTTCCTTAAAGATTAATTTATGTTATGCACATATCGCCTGCTTTCATTTGCCACCAATTTTGGGGTGTGGTGAATTTTTTTTTGGAACTCACCATACCTGGAAAATCATTGTTTATGGTTATTCCATACCATTAAAGTGTATATAAAGTCAATATCAATGATTTTGAATAGCCAAATACCTCATAATTGCCAAAATCGAAATATTAAATATCTGTTTACGTTTTTTGTATTTTTTGTCAGTTGACCTCCATAATTTTGATTAATTATTTTTTAATATCTACTTCTCTACTTTTGGAATTATTATATTACCAACTGTACATAAATTTTGTTCGTTGATTCCTAACATTTTATTTTTATTTCCTAAAAAAGCACACAATAATTTTGGGTTTTTGTTATGTTATGATTTGATATTTTAAAATTTTTTGATTGTCAATTGAGTTATTTAACACGCTTGTTTTTTATATCTCTCAAAAACCACATTCTAAACTCAATATTTGTTTTTGTTTCTTCACCTCCAACAAAAAAACAACCAAACGATATATTTTAGATTATACCAGCACAAATATTGATAAATCTGGTATGACACGAGCGAAAGCAAAAGCTGAATTCTTAGAAAATCTCAATCAAAAATTGGCTAAACAAAGTCTTTCAGGTCGAGCCTTTGCTGTACGTAATTTAATTAATAGCAAAGCATTGGTAAGTAATAAAACACCTAAGGATTAAAAAAAAACGTAAAATAATAGAAGCAAAATTAGTTAAAAAAAAACTCTAATTGGTTGCCATTAGAAGAGAGCACGTTTAAAATATTTTTTCTTGTAATTTTTCCCCACCTCTTTGTAATTCTATATATTTTTTAATATTTTATTTTTGTTTTCTTTTTTTAATATTTTTCGGTATTATTGAATCTCTTCTACCACCACCCCTCTTATCCTCAACATCAAATCTGAAATGTATTTTTCTATGATTTCTTGTGTGTGTGCGTGCGTGTGTATATTACTATACGTTGTGATTGTAATGTAAATTGAAATTGTAGATGTATCAAAATACACAACATCTTAAACGTCCAAGTGCACAATATCGCAATTTACCTTTAATTGCCGATACAAATTCATCTTCGGCCACTATCTCCGATGAAGCATTGTAGAGTAAAAAATAAATATAAAGTAAAGGTATTTTTATTTTCTGATTTTTGTTTTTCATGGTTTATAGCTTGCTTGCGGCTTTTCATTAACTCGTTCTCACTTCCTCTCTCTCACAAAGGTTTTTACATCATTCAATTCTAAACCCGAAAATATTCATAATTTAATATCATTTTAGATTTATTAGAAAGGTGTGATTTGTATTATCACACCACCACACCTTCAACAATATATCCATTTCATGCAAATTATGCTATTTAATAATCTATAATCCCACTACAATCATTTTTTGATACCATAACAATCCACCAGATATGTAAATATAATTTTAAACAACTAAACTGAAAATCATAATTAAAACATGTAATTATTTCCTTCATTTATTATTAGGGATTTGTTAACACATTAGAGTGTTATTATTGTATACCATTATGAAAATAAATCGGTCATCACATCTTAAACAATATAGGTAATAAATTTGTTTGGTATATCCCTGTGAAACATCTGACGAAGAATAAAATTGTTTGTAGTTTCAGAAGCTGGAATTTTAATTAAAATCGCCTTTTATGACTTCAAATTGCATTTATGAAAATATATAAAAAAAACTTTCAATTCATGATTAAAATCTGGCATAATGGATTCTGATAATGTAAAAGTCAGTCCAGAGAGTTTTCAATATACATATGTCCCATATAATTGTCCCGACCTATTTTGTAAGACTTGCCAAACGGCTTACAACTTTTGGATTACTTTTTATTAATGTTCGAAGAATTTGTTCAAATTCCGTCAATTTAAACGTGTCAACGCCAATATTGTACAAACATATTTTTGACCTTAACAACTGACCTTCTGTAGGAAACAGTCCTATTATTATTACCTCTAACATAAGATGGAGCTTACATTAAATTTATCATTCCCTTTGCAACCCAACCGAACACCCCATAAAAAATAAAATTTCATGTCTGCCTGTTTAAATCACGATAGAGCTCGGTCCCCTATGTTTACGGTCGGCCTCCTTTTAATGATGCCTTCATTTTTTGATATTAAGGGGAATTTGGATACGTTTTCAACAGAATTTGCTCTAATTTGATTTTTTGGGTTATCAGGGGCTGTAAAATCTTCCTAACTTACTTACCTTCTTACTTAGCTGGCTTGTGACAGAACTTTCGTTCCATAAGCCGAGCTTCGGTCTTTTCTTTTGTGCAGATTTTCTAATTTGAAAGACCATATTCGGCAATGTTATCTTCCACTTGATCTTTCCATCTTTTTCGTGCCCTTCCCCTTCTGCGTGAACCATCAGCTGTTTTGCTTTTATATGCCTTCCGGGCTGGGGCATCTTCATCCATACTCACAACATGACCTAACCAACGTAGTCGCTGCAGCTCAATACGTCTAACAATGGCGATGTCCGAGAATAGCTGGTACAACTTATGGTTTATTCGTCGGCGATAGTCACCGTCAACGCAGATCGGCCCATAGATCTTTCGGAGAATTTTTCTCTCAAACACTCCAAGAGCTGCCTCATCTGCTTGCGCAAGTACCCATGCTTTAGATCCATATAACAGCACGGGTAGTATCAGCGTCTTGTAGAGTGTGAGTTTGGTCTGGCGGGAGGTGGTCTTGCTTTTGAGTTGTTTGCTCAGACCATAGTAGCATCTGTTGGCCACCACCATCCTTCTCCAAATTTCAAAACTGATGTCATTCGTTTTGTTTATGGCGGTACCAAGGTATATAAAATCTTCGACTACCTCGAAGCTGTGGTTTTTAAGTTCCACAGTTGGTCTGAGTCTACTGGACGTCTTGCGCATTGATACCATCAAATCTTCCTAACCAAAATGTTTAATATCGGTTTACTTTTTGGTATAGCTCCCATATAACGGTACAGTCTCATTTTCGGTATTTTGAAGGCTTAGATTAGAACTGTAAACCAGTGAGCGGGGCAGAATAGTTGGACAGGACCGACCATATGATACCCTGGGCAGTACACTCTTGATCGATTCACAGCTCATTTTTGCTGCTATGTCATTTGTTCCGAATAATTTTTTCCAGAGTAAAAATTTAAGCCATACGATTAAAATTTCGCTATTTTACACACAAGAGTCTTGGTTCAGTTGACCCTCTACATATTTCCCGACTCTTTTTAAAAAAGCAATTCTAAATTATTGGCCAAATTCCTTATCCGTGTATAATTTGTGATGCTCGGCATACAATAAAGGCCGCTAGAGCGACTAGGAGACTTAACAATAATAAAGCTTTAGGATCATTTCATTCCCCAAATATCATCTGATAAACACAAAAATGTTGTAGGTGTCGTCCTTTATGATAAGGTAAACTTCATAGCGATCCGCGAAACATTTTCACCTTCTAGTCTGGTAATGGTAAACGGTAAATCATATCAAAATAATTATACACATGTATTTATATTAGTACAACTCACACATCCAACGACATACCCCAATACAAATGGTACCAATTTAAAGGTCAACAACTTCTCTGGAATACACTATCAGCTTCTCGGACCAACGTCCTCCAGGACTAAATATATACGCCATCGAATGAACATTTTATCATTTTTCACAAAAAAGTCTGACCCGCTAAATATTGACCCATCTCCATCAAAACAGTTATGCTGATTCTATGGGAGATTTAAAAACAGAAAAAATAAAGTTTTTGGTCCATTTCATCAACTGAATGTTAACCTATCATTACCAAAAACAATAGGGGAATACCTTGGCGGGTTCTCGCCAAGGTATTCCCCTACTTGCAAATTTCGTGACAATTGGTCCATAACTGTGGCCTGTGTGGACGGAAGGACACACTTGTCTATATCGACTCAGCTAGTCGAGATACAACGATCGACATACTAAATGGTGGGTCTGTGACCGATATTTCTCTGTGTTACAAACTCTTAGGGTCACACAAAGCTATAATACCCTGAAAACATAACGACGAAAAAGAGGCGCAATGACTCGAAATATAAAGATGATATGTTTCACAATACAAAATTTTCATTTGATTTTATTTAAGACGTCTCATATCAAAAAGTAGTGTCATGTATCAACGATTTCGCATAATTTATTCATAATAATTGGCCAAATAAGGCTTTGTGTACATGTAGGAATTTAGATAAATAAATCCTGCCGCAATCCCTTTCTGGGATTTTGATATACCCCCAAAAGGAATTTTTCGCCCCAGACCATGAGCTCGATTTTTTTCATAGTATTATTGATTATATGATCACCTAATTCACATACCCATACTAGTATTTAGTATTATTTAGTCGGTCCCATCCGACTATACAAATATCAGATATTTGTCAAATTATCGGAATTTTTATCTTGCAACAATTAAACGCACATATAAACATATAATGTAAACTTTAACACTAGAAAGACGGGAATTTTGTATATACCTATACTGCCTAAAATCGGTCAAAATGACTTCATTCTGAAAGAATTTTTATTTTGTAAAGAAATTTTTTTTAACTTATTTATTAATATTTTTTACATTATTTACAATCATACAAAACGTTGTTATAATTTGTTTTATGCGGGAGGGCTCTCGAGTTTCCCTTTATAAAAAATAAGGACGCGGACAAAAGGTTAAAAAAAGAGGAAGTCTTTACTCTAAGAGTGAAATCGACTGGAAATATAAAATTTATTTTTCCCGATTTGTGTGTTCGTTTGTGTTTCTAGAGTATCAAATGGGTTTCGGTGTTGTTGTACTGATCTGGTAATATAAGAAAAGCACTTTATACAATAATAAAAGTGGTTTGATTATTTAATATTTCAAAAAGGTCAAAATGACCGCTTTTAGGCAATATAGGTATAGCACATGTGAATACGGGGAATGAAAGGGGGGAGGAAGCAGCTACTATGATTAATAAACGTAGTTCTATGTGGTAGAAAAAGTCACCAAATTTTAAAAAGCTGGGTCTTAATATACACATTTGTTTTTGTACTTGAAATTGAAAAACGGTCAAAATGACTGCCTTCGGCTACCTAGTGTTAAAATTATACATGTATGTGTACTCGTTTTCATTTTTTAGAACACCTTAAAGTATTTGTAAAATATTTCCTCCTCGATATATGTTTTGTTTATATTTCTTCTCCTTACAGCTTGTTTTTAATCTATATATGTAACAATTCATGTATTTTGTTTTATATTATCGTTTCTTTATTTTGAAATTATTATCATCATTCCCCCTTCATAGCAGCATATAACCTCTATAAACAATATATCATCTGTTTTAATTTTGTTCATAAATAATTTGTAAAGTTTGTGTATATTTATGATTGCATCGTTGCCTTGTGGTATATATTATTTTCAATAAACATTTACTAAACAATAATCTCTTTTTTCTTTCTTTTTTCAATTATTTTTTATATTAAAAAAACATTTCTTTAGCCGGATCCCCGTATCTGTCATGAATCCTTGATGGATCAAATAAAACGTGGGGCAACATTAAAACGCAACCAAAAAATCAATGATCGCAGTGCTCCGAAAATCTATTAAAAGTTCAACACAACCAACCGTCTCTATAAGAAAAAAATGAAGAAGAAGCCAACAACACTCCCAATGTCTTGGAATTAACTAAAAAAAACTAAATAACCATATCCCCAAAAAATCGTAATATTATTATTTAATTTATACAACAAAAAGAAAACTACTCTTTATATATATTTATGTGTGTATGTGTTTTTGTAAAGGAAGTCATAATTAGTCTCTCCTCTCCAATTCTAAACAATATACCGCCATGCGGTTCAATTTTTTATATATATACATTTACATATTATACAATTACCTATATATATATATATTTCTTAGCTATAGAATTAACATTTTACAAAAACAAAAAAAAAAAAGCAAAAACAAACAATACGAGCAAAACAATAATAAGATTAACGCAAAAAAAAACAAAAACAAAAGAACTAAACATATATCCTCTCTAATGAAGAAAAAACAACACAAAACATATGAACTAAATTTAATTTGCTAAAAAAGAGTTTGAATTCGAAAAGTTTGAAACTATTTTACAATTAAACTCAAAAAAGCGAAAATAAAATAATAATTTTAAATATAATCAATACATGAAAAATACTACTATTATACATATACATACACAATTAATAGAATTAAAAAAAAAGAAAAACAAAAACACTTTCGTAAAAATTATACTCTGTATTAATTTCAACAAAAGAAAATCATTAATTTGTTTTTTAACATAACCTCAAAGTTATTTGTCTACATTATATATAATAAATAATACGTACATACACAGAGTATCATAAACCAAGTTTAACAACAATTCGAAATAATTACTAACTTATTAAATGATACTTTGCAAACATAAACAACAAACAAATGTGGAGATTGGAAAAATATCTTTAAGCTAAAAAACAATTAGTTTAACTTTTTAAGTTTTTTAAAAACTAAAAAAAAATCATCGTAATTACCAAATTGTTTTTTATATATTTTAATATTTTCTTTATACTAAATATAACTCGAATTTAATTATTGTTTTCTTTATTTTCTTTATGAACTTTATATTTATTTTTTGCTCTTTTTTGTTTATTTTTTTTTTTTCCTAATTTTAAGTAATTTTCTTCTTTATTACATTTTCTTTCTTTTTTTGTTTTGTTAATAATATTATTATGTTAATTATATTTAATGCCCTCCCTAACAATTATTATTATAATTACTTTACTCCTTGTTTTGCTTTCTTTTTATAGAAAAGTACTATATAAAATCGTTGTATATAAATTTAATAATTTATTGAATTACCTAATCTAATTTAGTGTTTATTTTTTTTCTGTTTTCGATATAAAAAATGAAACGAGTTAACCAACAAGCCAGCCCCCATTAACTATGCTTAAACGAAAAGTAAAACACAACAACCATTTATCTATATATAATCCATACATATATATATCATACGAAACAATATATGCTTTTTTCAAATGAATTAATCAATAAAAATAATAAACATTAATTAAATATGAATTTAAAAAAAAAATATATATACACATTATTGTTGTTTTATTTTGTTATGGGGAAATCACTTCACAATTTTCAAAATCATCTGACAGTTCGTCTTGGGACGGCTCACAAGAAAGACGCATTTTAAAGAATTAATCACGCCTACGAGCTTAAAAAATTACAAAATGGCGCTGTGTTAAGCTTTCGCTTAACTTGTCACGTGTTTTATCTACCGAACTAAATGAAAAATCGTTTATCATCGAATACAAATTTGAGCGAGAATTGTTTATAAGAAGATCTCGTTTTTATACAACAGCAATCCAAAGGATTCATAGAGGACCCGCCTATATATATAAAGGTCCCGACCAATTTCAGACATTTAAAGATTCTAAACGTATTTTCCAATCAATTTTGGGTTCTCAGGCACACGTTCTTAGACGCCCGAACCGGTTATTTTTTTACAAGTAATAATAGTTTTTATACCCTTCACCACACTGTGGTACATGGTATTATGTATTTTTGCATATGTTTGTAACAGTTCCTTGTGAATCGATTTATGCATTTCCGTCCGTCTGTTCATGTTAAATTGCAAACAGAGTACAGGTCGCATTTATCATCAAATTTGAATGAAATTTGGCACAGCTCGTTTATTTGGCACAAGCACGAACCCTATTGAAATTGGGAAAAATCGGTTCAGATTTAGATATAGCTCCCATATATATTCGTCCGATTTAATGTAAATTGTGCTCCAAGGTCCCTATATATCTTTCGATTTGGACGAAATTTGCCATTGCATACTAAATTAAGTTTAGAATGATGTGGGTTAAGTTTCGTGAATATCGGTTCAGATTTAGATATAGCTCCCATATATATTTTCGTTTTAATTGAAATGGTGCACCAAAGTTCTTATATATATATATATATATTAGCGTACTGAATTGAGTCTATAATGATGCGTGCTAAGTTTCGTGAATAGCGGTTCAGATTTTGATATAGATCCCATATATATGCTTGTCCGATTTAATTGAAAGGGCGCACTAAAGTGCTTATATATATTTCGTTGAATTTCATGTCAGTGTTGTTTCGAAAAGGCATTCCTTTTTTTTTTTTTTTTTGAGTTGTTCATGTATCGTTGTTTATGGTATGATTAAGTGATTTACTGTTAATTTTAAGCTTTTGGAATAGTCCATGTAATGAAGGTTTTGGAATCGCTTATGGCCCTTTGGGCTAAGTTATGGTTTATGAAATGAAATGAATGGAATTGAATTTCCCTTTTTTATTATATCTTCAACTTTATGGTTATTGAGAATAATACTGTATATTATACTAGAATGTCCGTCCAAACCGCTTCAAATTAGATCCATGTTATCATAGCTAATTTTAAAACAAATGGATATATTTCTATTTAAAGTGAAATTTTAAAAATGATACGCTGTCTAGCTTTGGAATTGACTAAAATCTTTGTTTCGATATGTTACAGAAATCTTCAAAAACTGAAACATACATTTTACAGATTAACTGTTATCGTTGCTAAATTTTGCTGGAAGTTATTCGATTATTTTTCTTAGTAGAAGTCTCTACAACCTTGAAAAGCATGGATAATAATCACATTAGATTATTTATGGTTTTGTTTATTATAATATTCTCAGTCCCTCCTTCTATAAAAAAAAAATAGCAAGCAAAGGTCCCCTTTCCCAAAAAGAACAACTGACGCATCTATTTTTAACATTCTACCTTGGCATCTTTTAACTAAACGAACAAGTTATTCAAAAGGAAACAGAGGAACGAGCTGCTACTAGTACCCAAATGGTTCATTTCAGTGAACACAACATTGAACTACCGTTGCACGTTTTTTTGTTTTGTTTACTTCATTCATACATTTCATTGAAGAATCTACGTATCCACTTCAATATTTATCACTGAAAAACCTAGGAACTTGAAAACCCTTTCCAATGGGGGCCCAAAAAGCTAAACGACATACCAAACACAAAAAGCAGTACAAAAAATCAAAACCAATACCCAAAAATCATGTTAATAGTAAATTTAAACATCGTGGCAGTACAACTGTTGAGCGGCTGAAAAAACAAATCGAATTGGAAAAGTCACATTTGCAGACAAAGGAAGAGTTTGAAAATGAGCTACTGGGTGGTGGTCTGTCCGAAGAAGAGGAGGAGGAAGTGAATCCATTTGATGATTTGGTGCAGGATTTAAGTTCCAGTGGTAAGTAGACCCACTACTAAATGCAAATGAATTTCATTAATATCTTTGTTGTTGTAGTCAAAAAGAAACCAGCCTTTAAGGAAGCTCCCCTACAACTACTGGGTGCCAAGAAAAAACCCGAACCAAAGTCGACCCCCAAGGCCAAGAAAGTGAGAATGCAATATGTTCTGCCCAAATTGCAACAATTTAAAAATCATCTGCAAACAGAAATTTCGGCAGAAGATGTGGAGTTACTTATCAATGGTACAGCTGACAAAACAAAAACTGCCATAGAATGGCCAGAAATGGGTCATGGCTATATAACAACACCGGAAATTACAATTAATCGCCATAAGGATCTAATCGATGAACATCCACCACCGGCTTTGGAAAATTCGGGCGATTTAGAATCACTAGGTTTACAACCATTCTTAGCTAATCGCATTAATCTGCCAATGAGTAATTTCCAAAGTGAACTTTTAACGCTAGTTAGCACCTATAAAGATGTCTACTATCCATATCGTAATTTCGATAATGCTGAAGAAATCCGTCAGGTTTATACAATTCATGCTTTGAATCATATATTTAAGACGCGTGCCTGTGTTATGCTGAACAATAAAAAAATCGAAGAGGAGGAGGCGAAAAATAAGGGTCTGGTAATAGATGATATTTATCGTGATCAAGGTTTGGCTAGGCCAAAGGTTTTGATTGTCACACCCTTCCGTGATTCGGCCTATCGTATTGTTAACATAATGGCGGAGATTATTAAGAAAAAGGAAAAGGGTGAGTTCCATTGTTTACGTTCCTTAATGGCCCCAGGTTTTAATAATACATCCTTTATTTTCCTCTTTTCAGACAATGATGCAAAATCGGTCATGAACATGGAGAGATTTATCAACGAGTTTACCGGTGACACAATTTATTTTCCAAAAACCAATCCCAAGCCAGAAGATTATGAGAAGACATTTAGTGGGAATACCGATGATAATTTTCGCATTGGCATCTCATTGACAAAGAAGACCTTAAAACTCTATACAGATTTCTTTTCATCGGATATCTTGATAGCATCTCCCTTGGGTTTACGTCTTTCCATGGGTGGCACCAGTGATAATGATGTTGAAGCTGATTTCCTTTCCTCCATTGAATTGTTGATTTTGGATCAGGCGGAATTATTTTTGGCACAAAATTGGGAAAATCTTCTCCATGTTGTGGATCATTTACATTTACAACCAAAAACAATGCGTGCCACGGACATAAATCGTGTGCGTTCATGGTGTTTAAATGGTTATTCGAAATTCTATCGCCAAACGTTGCTGTTCACTAGCCACGAGCTTCCCGAGTTCAGAGGAGTTTTCAATAATAAATGTTTTAATTATGAGGGCAGTATACGTTTTTCAAATCCCATTATAAATGGCGATATTCGAAATGTAATTGTCCCAATATCACAAGTCTTCCATCGCATAGAATGCTCCGATATTGAACAGGTGTTTGAGAAACGTTTCAAATATTTTGTTGAGAAAATTCTGCCACAATTTAAAAGTACCATATTTGCCCATTGTATGATTTATGTACCGAATTATTTTGATTATGTCCAGTTGAGAAATTATTTTAAAGCGGAGACGGTGAATTTTGTACAAATTTGTGAATATACCAAGAAAGAGAAAATGGCTCGAGCTCGTGATATGTTCTTCCATAGTGGTGCCCACTTCATGCTTTATTCGGAGCGTTCGCATTTTTTTAAACGTACACGCATTAAGGGTATACGTCATTTGATTATGTATCAACCACCCCAATGGCCGAATTTCTATTCGGAAATGATTAATCTAATGCATTCGTCAAATCAAAACAGTCGTGATGGTTTGGAGAATTCAATGAGTATAACTGTGTTATATACCAAATATGATAGTCTACAGCTGAACGGTATATTGGGTACGGAGAATGCTACAAATCTATTGGAATCGGATAAGACGATACATGTCTATGCAGCTCAATGAGATCGCGTGTAAATAATGTGTGAATAAAATATTTTTTTTAAAAATAAATAAAAATAGTTTTTATTTTTTAATTGATTGTTTAAATTCCATTGGGAAAGAGAGTCTCGTAAGTTGACAGAGCGTAATTTTTGTAAAGGACCAATACTAGACGTGGATTTTTTTAATTAATATTTTTTCGAAGTTCTGTTTTGGACCCATATCCCCCTAAAATAAAAAAATCACAGAATCAATTACCTATCAATTTAAAAATCGCCTAAAAGTATGCAATATTTTTCTTTAGAAACCACCAGCAGCCACTATGACAGAAAAATTGCCGTTTTTACAAAGTCAATTTTTGTGTGTTTTTCATTTTCAGGTAATAGGCGCCCAGCACCGAACAGTAAGTATACTGCGGATCATCGTTGAGTTCAAATGTAAATAACTCAGCGACTACTTAACGGATTTTTATAAATTTTGCACAAATGGTTCGAGGGAATTCTAAAGTTTCATTACATATTCATCATACATATATAAACTTATGTTATATAAGAGAAAATTGGCGTTATTTGAAAGGTCAATTATATTTTTAAATAACCGCAAATTTTATGTGAAATTTACACAAAGTAGACACTAACTTTGTTCGAATTACACAAAATTTTGTCTAGTGTATTGCATTGAGTCTAGAATGACGTATCTGGTTTATGTTTCTCTACCCTCAGCCTTACGGTTAATAAGGATGTATATACACCTAGCTACGGTAAAAATGTGCCTCTTCGAAATATGGGTTTTTGAACAATTTGAAGTCGATTTACAAATGTCCGTCCGTATGTCTGGCTGATGAGTATGCGATAACTAAAGAAGAGAGTAAGCGATTTCATCCTATAAAAGGCGTGGATTTTTAAAGAATAATTTTTCAAGGACCTATAAAAGGCGTGGATTTTTAAAAAATAATTTTTCAAGGACCTATAAAAGGCGTGGATTTTTGAAGAATAATTTTTGAAGGACCTATAAAAGGCGTGATTTTTAAAGAATAATTTTTCAAGGACCTATAAAAGGCGCGGATTTTTAAAGAATAATTTTTCAAGGACCTATAAAAGTCGCGAATTTTTTAAGGACCTATAAAAGACATGGATTTTTCAAGGACTTCTAAAAGGCGTGGATTTTCAAAGACCTATAAAAGTCGCGAATTTTTTAAGGACCTATAAAAGACATGGATTTTTCAAGGACTTCTAAAAGGCGTGGATTTTCAAGGACCTGTAACAATTTGAATTCGATTTACAAATGTCCGTCCGTATGTCAGGCTGATGCGTACGATAATGTATCCTTTAAGGATCTACACGTGTAACCGATTTTTCCAAACTTTGCAACACATACTTGATTTTTTTAAATAATATTTTTGCTAGGACTATCAAAGAGTGGATTTTTAAAGAATTTTTATTCAAGGACCAACACAGACTTGATTTTTCAAAGTTTTTTTTTTCAAGGAACTACAGAAAGGCTGTTTTTAAGGATATTTTTTATAAGGCATATTTCATTTTCATGAAGAAATAAATTATTTGCTTTTTATAAAAGTATAGCATTTATTTTTCCTTTGAGAAAAACAATTTAATTGTATTTTCATAATAAATATCGGCTAATTTGTCAACAGGTTCGTTTTTAACACCAGCAATAACTTCCAAAACTTGGCTGCAAACGAAAATACACATCACATTTATTCAGCCTATAGAAATTAAAATTTGTCCTACTTACCTTATTTGACACGGTTCACATCGACCATCAATCAATGATTCAGCCGTCCATTTCTCCTTCTTCTTGACGGTTGGAAATTTCGTTTGCACATATTTTTGTCCAGCGTGAGATGGCCGGATGCCACACCATGGGCAATCGGTTTCCAACATAATACGATCGTTGGGCAGCTGTTTAATGACTTGCAAATTTTCCTCCGTCTTCAGGGAACAACCATTAATGCCAATATATAAATTTGGATGAAAATCGATAACACTTTGTGCCTCTTCCAATGTCCCCGTAAAGCTATGCACAACACCACCACCACACACATCTAATTTATCTTTATTGCATTTTAAGATTTCTATAAAATCTTCATGAGAATTACGACAATGTAGAAAGAGTGGTAATTTGAATTCTTCTGCCAAAGATAGTTGCTTTTCGAAATACACTTTTTGTGTATCTTTTTCACAGAAATGCAGGCGATCATAGTCCAGACCACATTCACCAATGGCAATAACTTTATTCAGATTGTTGGCAATTTTATTTCGCAGTCCTTGATAATATTCTTCGGGGTTGGGTAGAAATTCACCACAACGTGTGGGATGACAACCCATGGATACAAAGAGTCTATCTGCAAAGGATAAAAATATGGGGTAGCGATATAGTAGGATTTAAAAAAAATATAATACGTAATACGTGGATATTTAAAGAATATTCTTTCAAGGACCTATAGCAAGGCGTGGATTTATTAAATAATATTTTTTCAAGGACCTATACAAGGCGTGGATTTATTAAAAAATATTTTTAAGGACCTATACAAGGCGTAGTGTTATTAAAGAATATTTTTAAGGACATATACAAGGCGTAGTGTTATTAAAGAATATTTTTAAGGACATATACAAGGCGTAGATTTATTGAAGAATATTTTTTCAATGACCTATACAAGGCGTAGTGTTATTAAAGAATATTTTTTCAATGACCTATACAAGGCGTAGTGTTATTAAAGAATATTTTTAAGGGCATTTACAAGGCGTAGATTTATTAAATAATATATTTAAGGACCTATACAAGGCGTAGTGTTATTAAAGAATATTTTTAAGGACCTATACAAGGCGTATTGTTATTAAAGAATATTTTTAAGGACCTATACAAGGCGTATTGTTATTAAAGAATATTTTTAAAGACCTATACAAGGCGTAGTGTTATTAAAGAATATTTTTAGGGACCTATACAAGGCGTAGTGTTATTAATGAATATTTTTAAGGACCTATACAAGGCGTAGATTTATTGAAGAATAGGTTCCGACAGGTGGTAATAACATTTATATCCACTTACCATCTTTGTGCGCCATTTCCAATGCCTCGTCTGCCTCATTTAATGTACCCACAGTGATGATCATCTTTTGCAAGCCCTGCTTCCAAGATCTATCCAATACGATTTGTAAATCATCTTGATGTTTTTGTGAGCCTCCGTAAACCCCACGGAACATAGGATCTGTCAGGTTGGCTCCAATATCTGAAAGGTACAATTTTTTTTATTATATGAAGCCTATGGATGGAATTGTGGAAAAAGTTGCTTACCAATATATTTCAAGGACATCTTTAAACCGTTCCAAAGAGTTTTCATAAAATCCACGAACTAGAATGGAGAAAGGCACACCGGCAAATGTGGCAGATATACGCAGCACGATATGGCAGAAAATTGAGAATCAAAACAAAAAGCTCGACAATTGGACAAAAAGCGAAAGGGACTTTTAGTTCGAAATTTTTGAATCAGCTGTTCTTGGATATTCATGCGGATCACATACCATCAATATTTATATTAATTTTTAATGAAATGTGTGCAAATTTGCCTGTAAATTTTGTATTTTTCTATGTCAATAATTAGGATTTTATTCCTTGGCCTTAACTATGCCCAACAGCTGATACGCATAACAAATAATTAACTGAAACATGATTTGTTACCATTTCTCTTGTCATGGTCACCCTATTACCATATGTCAAAATATACACCCTGTAATTGCTTGCTGTTTATTTCGAAACACTTCCTAATTTCTAGAAATTATCCAAACAAAAACAACCAGTCGAACAAAAACAACAAAGGCTCCAAAGGAGGAAATTCTGATTGCTCATAAGACTGCAACAACATTTAAAAATAGAGTATAAAAATTCATACAAAACCTCAAATCTCGAATCCGAAAAAATAAAAACAGAAAAAGAATCAACTTCCAAAATGTCGGTACGTCATGATTGGTATCAATCCGAGACCAAGGTGGTCATTACAGTGATGCTCAAAAATGCCAAAGAGAAAAATTACAAAGTGGAAATCGAAAAACAACGGGTCCATATGACAGCTGAGGGCTATGAATTGGATTTGAAGCTGTTCGCCCCCATAGTGGTGGAACGTAGTTCATATAAAGACTTCCCGTCCAAAGTTGAAATCACTCTGGCTAAAGAGACTGGAATCCGTTGGGATGGTCTAGAGGAGGCGGTAAAACAAAAACCTGCCGTTGCAGCTCCACCACCAATTCACAAAAAGAATTGGGATAGCTTGGCCAAAGAAGTCGAGAAGGCGGAGGAGGCCGATGCCCAAAGTGAAGAGGCTCTACAGCGTCTGTTCAAGAAAATCTACAGTACATCATCGCCGGAAGTACAAAAGGCAATGAACAAGTCATTCATGGAATCGGGTGGCACCGTGCTGAGCACAAATTGGAATGAAGTTGGTAAAGATAAAGTGGAGGTGAAACCACCAGAGGGTTGTGAATTCCGTAAATGGGAATAGTTGACTGCTAATATTATTTTTTGGACAACAATTGCAGTATAAGTTTAGATTTCTAATAATTTTAGTCTTATACACACAAATGAATGTTAATATTAAACAAAAATTATTCTTTATTATGTTTATTGTTTTTACTTATCCATACATTCATACATATACTTATATATTTTTTAGTAATACTCACCTAAAACACTTGCTAATAAATTAACAAAAAAAGTTATTTAAAATGGTGATTTTGTTTTTATTTTAGAAGGTGGATTATGTGTAAGGCCCTGAAAACCTGATTACGATATATTGTAGCAGATGCCTATACTTCCTGTAATATGGATTTTCAAATGTACTCTGGAACCAATGTATTTCCGGTTTCAAAATTGGCAATGACAATAGGGTCGTCATTTTGAAGCGGTGGACATTTGGAAGGAGACTTTCTATAGGATAAAGTCCCAAATCCTTACCTGATGGTTGGCCACAAATTATAACTGTTTTATATAAAATTGCGGAATATATTGTATTAACTACTATAATATAAAAGAATAGCTGCAAAACCAATTCCTCTCGAATCAGGTACCTTACCAAATAAAAAGTTGTTGTTATTAGAAACTCCACCGCTTCAAAATGATACCAATATTACTTTAATAAATTTGAAAACAAATGCGAAAATCTAAGGGTCTCAACGGAGCATTAAAGGGTCATATCTCTGAAAGTACAAACTTCCCAAAGAAATCAAATATATAGTTGTAATCAGGACCTGCAGAGTATTTGTGATAATGCGACCACATGTAAAATGAACTGGAACTCTGGGTCATAAACTTTAGTCATTCCGGTGTATTTAAAATTGCATGGGGGGTTTTATATACATTTACAATAAAACGAGCAACTGGTGAGGAACGTTTCCACGACAGAGGGGTCTACGATTCGAAACTTCCAGAGTCTTTCTCGGTTAACGTCTGTCAACTCAGCCCATTGTGTAAAAGCAATAAGTCTGCAACAACAATAACAACTAGAGAGGAAGGTAGCTAATATGGCCTATGTTATATGATATCCAAGACCCGTTTGTGTATAGGGAGAAAGTTTCATATAATATATGAGAGGTGTATTGAAATATGATTACAATAAACTATTTGTAATGCATCGTTCTGAACTTTAAGGCGGATGGAATAATTGACTTTGGAAACAACATACGAATGACTCACATTAATGAAATAATTACGTACATGGATCAAATTAATCAGCTGTACTAAATTTAATCGCATATTCGTAATTATGTTAAAATTACTCACAAGTATGGACGATTTTGTGGTTAGGAACTGGATGGAATCAGAAAAATGTTTTTTTTTTGGATCTCAAGATGAAATTTTTCCAGTTTCTTACTAACGGAGTTGAGCAGCACCCTTAGATAAATCGCATAAAGACGAACTGGGAAATGTTCAGAATTAAAATGGCATCCGTATCCATTGATAATTATAACCTCAAAGCGGCTGAGGATGTTGAGAAAGCAGTGAGTGAAGTGGTAATCTCCTGAGATGATATAAGAAGTGATATGGTGGAAAAGAGAACTTGCAGCTTTGTGAAAAAAACTGCATCCTATAATAAAGCTAACTAAACCTTTGTACGGCTTCGGATGATCAAGAAGAATATTTCAATGAGTACAAAAGCGAAATTAAGAAGGCTAAGCGAGCTGAGGATCCATAGGTACTATCAAAACAATGTATGGAATAGACCTAATAGACCTGATTAGCTACCCAAATGTCCAATATCAAGTGATAAATATATCATTCATAAATATAACCTCAAAGCGGCTGAGGATGTTAAGAAAGCAGTGAGTGAAGACCTATCCAAATGTGCAATATCAGGTGGTATAATACCAGCTATGCTGTAAGATGCGACTGAACGAGTATTAACTTCACAGATATACACTTTTAAGAAGTTTTTGCGTTTATCTATTGCACCAATTCTATTTAAAGGGGTAAATGTGACCTGTATCCCTACAGCTGGGAAGTTAGGACAAATCTTACCACAAGACTCCAGATCGTATACCCTACCTTTCTTAAGACATATAAGAAAATTATTTGATTTGTAAAGGTTCAGCAGATCACAACACCACTACAGTCAAGGTAGATAATTGTATACACATTCACAGCTTCACCTTAGCAGATTTCTTAGACATTCAAGGAGCTTCCAACAATGTACAGCTGGAATCTATCCGCACTTAAAGAGACAGGTGTATACTCGACTCTGATTGAGTGGATTAATGAAATGCTTGAAAGCGGAAACAATCAACAGAGACACACCGTATGGAGTGATACTTTCTGCACTATAGGATGCACTCATTAGAATAAGGGAAGTGTGCCAGAGATCGCCATATATTCGTATAACCATCGTGTTACCAAAGTTGCAGAGAGTTTATTAACCAAATATTCAAGGGAATTTATGATGTTGATTAAAAGAAAAGAACATCGTTACTGCTGCAAGTTTCTAGTTTTATACCTGATGAGACCTAATTTCCAAGCAAAGGCAGTAGGACTACCTAATGATCGTGATGAATTTTGTCATAGAGTAAGAGACCTGTCATAGAGTAGTGAAGAAACCTAATTTCCAAGCAAAGGCAGTAGGACTACCTAATGATCGTGATGAATTTTGTCATAGAGTAAGAAATTAGAATATGTTGGTCAGCAGTTTCACAGCGAAGCTTAAGCGGAATAAATGATAAAAACATTTGATGTGTTGCAACCAGCGTTCGAAAATAAACATTATGGTACCGTTCCATAGTGTTCTGTACCGTACCAAGGTGGATAGGTACACTAAAATAACGTACTGTACCGGTACACAAACACTAAAAATATTTTTAGCGATTAACAACCTCTCTGCGGTACACTAAAAAATGACTGTACCGAAGCGGTACACTAAAAATCATAGTGTACCGGCAGTGGTACACTAAAAATCGTAGTGTACCGACTGCGGTACATGTTGTGTTCCACTGGACGGAACACAGTGTTCCGCTGGTCGGAACACTAAAAATCTCTTCCACTTCCGGCAGTGGTACAGAAAATCAACAGTGAACAATAAAAATCATGCGTTCCACTTACTTGAACTGTACTGGTAGTGTACCATACATGTGTCTTTTTTTAAGTAAAATGAGATCAAATAATAAAAAATAAAACTTAATATAACTTTATTTGCAATTACAAAAGTGAAAATCTCTATTTGAAATAGGTATTTTGGCCAGTTTTTGTGACAAAATTATACACCTTTGGATACAATTTTCATTAATTTACACAACGAACATGATTTTTCCATAATATTGGGAGATCTCCTTGTAAAATGTTAGTACGAAAAATGTTTTCTTAAAACAATTATACCTGCATCCATCTTTGATTCATACTTTTAGGAAATTTTAGCAAAAATATTCAAAATTTTGTGATTGTCACACAATCAACATAATTTGTACCTGCTTATTCATTAAAAGAAACTTACGAATTATGCGGATATAAAAAACATTTTTATGATTTTGGGATAAATATTACAAAACCACAGATTCTTTATGATTTTTGCACAGGTAGTCTTATGCAATACATTTTTCCGATCAGCGCAATCGATTATCAGCCAAAATGTAATCCAATGGAATTTTCAGTTGCGAGTTGGCATCAGATTGAATTTTCACTATTACGACCTTTTTTAGTTATAAAATATTTATGTTAAACTGTTGATGTTTTAATAAAATATTACTAATTTTTAATAAAATATAAACAAATACAAATTTAAAAAGTTTTATATTTATTGAAACTATTGAAAAAGAATAAAAATATAAATTTTATTGATACAAAAAATAAAATATAATAAATACATCTTTTTGTGTTCCGACAAATGGAACACTATGATTTTTAGTGTTCCGCCAAATGGAACACTACGATTTTTAGTGTTCCGGCCAGTGGAACACTACGATTTTTAGTGTTCCGGCAAGTGGAACACTACGGTTTTTAGTGTTCCGGCAAGTGGAACACTACGGTTTTTAGTGTTCCGACCGCGGTACGCTACGTTTTTTTAGTGTTCAATTAACTACGACTTTATGCTCCTACCGCGGTACAATACGATTTTTAGTGCTCCGACTGCGGTACACTACGAATTTCGTTGTGCTCCGGAACAGTAACACTAAAAATTTTTTTGTTTGTGTTGCTGTTCATTTGCAACGATAGTGTACCGTTTTTTTGCGAACACTGGTTGCAACATCGGAACGAGCGAATTGTAGACTATAACCGTGGAGAGAAGGATGATAGGATCTCAGTAACGATTAACAACCTCTCTGCGACTGACTGGAAGAGGCGAGTAATTTATTTTAACCGACTGTTTGTCAAGCACCCCGGAAAAATCTCTTCGCAGAAAATCAACAGCGTAGAACCATGTTTTGACGTATGAAGTTGGTAGGTACTGTGCTATTTTAGATGACTGTCAAGCACAGTTGCTAAGCGAAGTCGATGTAGTTTGGCTCTTTCTTTGCTTGGGCTGAGATAATTATCATTGCAGAAAATTTTCAATATAGGTCTAAATTTTAACTTAGCTTTAATTTGATTAATTTAGGCAGTTTGAAAGCTCATATTACGTGGTAGGTATAGAAAGTGAACCTTTTATATCATTATTCATCATTCCTTGTTGCATATTTATCCTTATTATTTCCTTCATTTCCTTCATTTAATCCCTGCTGGGTTACGAAATCATTTTGAAAACTATTTATTAACATACAACGGCTATACACCGAATAATCGACATTTAGAAATGACCTTTTCCAATAATCCTAAGCATTAATACAATTAAATATGGTTGATAATAAAATATGCAACCTTAAAAATAATAAAAACAAAGGGCACGTGGATTTCGGTGTCCACACAAACAACGAGCCATAAAATAAAATAAATTTCAATTAAATTGTAATTATTATCTAAATAATTATTATGCTATTGCTTTTTTGGGGGTGTAACCGCTAAAATTGTTTTGTTTATTTGCTGTTCATTT